GCTGCATACAAAGATCGTCTGCTTCAAACGCCATTGCCTTGGAAATTGCCTTCTCAAAATTTTCAGACGCATCCGATATTATGAAAACTTCGATAAGGTGTTTATTGTTTTATCAACTTCACGACAGACTAGTTTCGAAAAGTGTAAACTTGGCGTTTATTTTTTAATCAGCCGTGTTGAGTCGATCTCCATGTGTTCTCCCATAGGGCGGGCCGCCTCCTGGAACCCTGAGTACCACGTGACTCGCGCCGCGCTGCTCTGTCGGCCATGTTGTCGGGGAAACACGCGGATCAAAGGATTGCGCTACTCTGCTCCGTAGGAGCTTTATAGTGCTCTAAGAGATGCGTGCCGCTGTTGAGCCTGTCTAGTGTGCTGGCTTCACTGAGCGACATAAATTATTTCTGGTAATGCGAGGAAGCTAATGTTTTATGAGCGCCGGTCACCTCTTTAACCTAAAAACAAGAACGGTGTTTAGCGTATGAATTACGGAAGGATGCGCGTTTTAATTCTGGAGCGAAACCGAAACTTACCTCCATTTTGCATTTAATTTTTGGACAGAGGTCTTCATTTCGGATTCTTTCGTGACTCAAGATGTGTCTCACATCGTAATTATTTACTTAGAAAAGTTGTTCGCGGAAACTTTATTTTGTGACATACTGTTCGATCCAGGATTCGTGGTTGTTGAAAAAGTCAGTGCTGATATCTGTGCGTTCTCGCTGACTTTTTCTCGCTCAGATAATTGCCATGGGAAATAATGACAATTATCCCAGCACAAGAATAAGAAAATAATTCAAATTTTTACAATATGTCCACGAAATGCCTAAACTAATAAACGTTGCTCTCACTGCAACAACCCAAGACGGAATCCGAGTCAGACAGCTGAAGTGTGTGTGTTTTCATAGCACCGCGTGACCGCGTAGGACTTCATATTACATCCAGCGTTTAACTGTTTGCTGTTTTTCGTTGCTGTTAACTGTTTTTCATATGCTAAAAAGAAAACAGAATTATACCTTTCTGGAAAGACTATTTTGGTTAAATAGAGTATTCTCGTGATCTTGGCGTTAATTAGAGGCATACATTGCCGCGATTTGTATTAATAATAATGATATTAAAATTCACATATTTGAATAAGTAATTCTTCAAGCTCTAATATAAATTGTTGTTTAGGATCTAATTTTAGACGCGCGAAGAAATATGACAATGAAAACTGTGCTAATTATCATCACTGGTTCCAATTGCTGCAATTTAATTACAAATAAAATAAAAATAGTCTAAAATCAATGAAAACATTCTAGCTAATGTGAGAAATCCATGTAAAATTACAATAATTGTGAGTAAAATATATTGTGCTATCAAGGTCGCGACTTTTGACAATCGGCGAAACGTCCAAAGTCGCCGCCAATATACTTCCAGACCAAATGCCCAAAAGTTAAAAAAAAGCTTTCTTTTAATTACTAGTTTTTTTTCATAACATTTAATTACTTTTGTATTTGCTCGCCGTCGCTTTGCCAATCTCAGCCTTTCCAGTTCGTAGGAACGCCTACCTGCTAGCACGTCTGCTCACTGCAGCACGTTTCGTTGGCGTTGGAAGCCGGTGAAACAGCAGCGAGTTTTAATATTGCGTATACGAGCGAACTCAAGCCCTGTGTGTTTGCGTTAGCTTTGCGCGTTCCACACTGCGCGTGCGCGGAGCCCGAAATCGCGGTCTTGGATGGCGCATGGCGATGAGGCGCACGCACAACGTGGGGCACGCAAGTCTAACGCAAACTCACACCGCTTGCGTTTGCTTCTATGCGCAATACTAAAACTCTCCAGTAAGGTACAATCCCATACCGGCTGCAGCACTACGTTGGAACAGTGAAGAGTGTTGTTTGCATTCGGAAACGACATTTCGCGAGCCATGATTGCGAGCAGTTCCGCCATGCCCGCTGAGCAGGAGAATCGGGGTTCTGGAGTTGCAATCGAAGTCCTGGAAGTAAAAACGAGTATAGTTTTTTCTCAATCGCATTCGCTGTCTCTTACTACTTTTTACTCCCGAATCTCTCGGAGATGTGCGTCAAATATTCACCGTTTTGGGCTCGCCAGAAGCACATTAGATAGTGGCTGGGGGTCTAAACCTAAGGATCAGATGTCAAAGGCTATAAAAATCTCGGCCGCAAGTTGTCACAGCGCTGAGTAAAGCGTGTTTCACATGCAGCGGTTTTGGCCCTAGAGCGGCGCGATTTCTGCCGCCGCGGCGCTCTGGCCAGCACCAGCGGTTGAGCGGCACGAGCGCCGCGACGGCAGAAATCGCTGTGCTCTGTGCAAACGGCAAAGGGCAGCCCAGGGGTTAGGGTGCCTGCATGTCTGTCTGTCTCAGGGTGAAGACATCCATTGTTGCCCTGAATGTGCCAGCGCGTGACGCTCTCGCGCACTCGGTGCGTGACTTGGGCGGTAAAATGGCGTCTATGCATTAGCCAAAGCTACGCGCTCGAGCTGAGTGACACCGGATTGCGCGCACTTCGAATTGCACAAGAAAACGATTGGGCGGAAAAATGGTTGAGATGTCACCACTCAAGCAAAAGCGCGCGTGTATATGAAGGCACTCTACCAGGGGTCAGAGCCGCCAGGGGTGAGGTGACAGCGCCCCCCGCGAATGTCGGCGGGAGGTGGCGATTGCCCCAATCGCATAGGCCGTAAGAGGAGGAAGAGAGCGCGCGCTTCGAGTCCGGCCGTGACCAGACCAAGCGCTCACGCCAGTAGCTTTGACAGCGTTCGGAGTATAAAGGGAACGGACGATCGTCTTGCATGCTTTCGCATTCACAACCCACAAGAAATGCTTCGGTCCACCTCGAGCTTTTTTTTCTTTTTTAGACACAACTACCACAGGTAATTGAAGTTGTGGGTTTATCAAAAGCACACACTCAATATTATGAAATAGAAGCAAAACAATACCAACTTTTTGTGGCTTCGAAAAAGCCGCAAATAGTAAGTGGATTGAAGAAACAAGTGTTGCACAGTCACGTGACTTCACAAGACGTCATTCAAAAAGCGCTCAGATGACCACCAGACAAGAGGGGAAGGGGCAGCTTCCCTCTTACCAGGATCTTTTGTGCTTCCAGGATTTGCACAAACGTCGCTATTCTCCCATATTACAGAGTAACCAGTCCCTCAAAATTCCTACAAAAGCAGTTTCCCTCTCCTCCTCTTACGTGGTGGTCAAGAATGCGATGTGACATCAGCGCAAGCCCCCCCCCCCCCCCCCCCCCCCCCCCCATGTATATATATTCTTCCTCCCTAGTCCAGTTACTATAGATAACAATCTTTACCTTTCATCGATGCGTCCGGAGGTGAGATGAGCACTGCTGAGACGTGTGAAGAGTGGTGATATTTCAACTTTTTTTTCAGGGGACCCGTTTCCTCCTCCCGACTTTGATTTAGAGCCAATTTTTTACGAAGGAATGGCCCCCATTAACCTTCTATGAATCGGGCATTACGAGACTGATTGACAACCTACCTTCTAACTCGTCCCCAGGCCCTGACAAAAGAACAGCGAAGCTTCTCAAACTTTGGAACATCTCCTCGTTTTTAAACAATGGCAAGACTCGGGCGAAATACCCGACGTCCGGAAGCATGCTCAAGCAGTTCCAAAGTGTGAAAGTGGTTCGAAAACCAATATCGTGACAAGTGCACCCACTAAACTCGTGGATAGAATTTTCAAACATAATGAACCACTGATGCACGCACAATTACTTCTTTGTAAACCAGCACGGTTTCCGAAGGTCTTACTCTGGAGAAACGCAGCTTTGAGTATACTAATGACATACATGAAGACCCGCACCGAAATCCGTTCATTGACAATACACGTTTTGGCAATGGAGTGGATTTGAACTAGTTTTTAACCGTACACAAAGCGTTAATTATATCGGCAAGATTCACCACCTGTCAAATCGGGTGCGCCTGAGCGAACCTTGCTCGGTCCGTTGCTGTTCCTCATACATGTAATTTGACTTGCCAACTTGTATTCGGTCCACAATTAGATTACATGCCGATGACTGCCTGATCTATCGGGAAATAGGCTGGATGACTGCGCACTTTTGCAGAATGACCAGACATGTCTCGAAACATGGTGTGAAGAGTGGCAGGTGAAAATTAATGTTTCCAAAACAAAATTTTTCAACTTCAATACCAAACATACAACAGTTCATTTTCATTGCGTCTATTGAAAATGTTCCTACATACAACTATCTTGGGGTCCATGTTGCCTCCAACTTTTCATAGGTGCCTTACAAAAATTACATTATTGCAAAGGCCAACAAAACCCACCGTTTGTCAAGGCGACACATCTACCTTACAACACGGGATGCAAAACTGGTTGCATATTCATCTCTCATTCGACCCAAGCTTGAGTATGCATCAGTCATCTGCATCACTCGTATCTAACCGTTAAGCTAGAAGCCATACAAAACCGAGCTACTCGCCCTTCATACTTCACAACTACACTTGCACGAGCATTACAGCACTGAAACAGCAACTTGAGCATTTTCTCTCAGACTATCGGAAGATGTCAGTTGGTCACCCTGCATGAGTTGCAATATCTCTAGACTGAATTAACAAGAGCAAATCACTTAAAAAAAAAGACAGGGCAGAGCACTTACTGTCAATAGAGAATGTACCATCGCTCGCCACCCAAGAAAGACTACTGCAGAACCACCAGCCACATCTTTAAAAGCTTTTAAGAAATATTGACAACCAATTTACACCAGACAACTACATTACATTTATATTGCAGCACTCGTGCTAATGATGTACAGCTGGGCCTCGCTATCATGGCAACGGCAAAGACTCCTCATTTAAGTGCGGAAGGGGGTAATTCACATTTTCCGAGAGATGTTTGTGTCACTAGTACAAATTGGTCAAAATTCGGGAGTCTCCTGGGAAATGCTGTACACTTGGCAGGTATGTTATACCCAGCCAAAAGTGCACCACTTCACTGCAACTCAAAAGTAACACGAGCCACAGAAAGAGGCGAATAAATGACATTTATTTCAAAATTAAGAAAAAAAAAAAAAAAAAACCTTTTGCCAGTTGATTTTTTGCATCGATGAACACACACAGGACACAATACGCTAGACCACAGAGATGAAAAAAAAAAAAAGAGAAATCTAGAGGGAAAAAAAAAAGGAGAATCACCAAACAGCATTCTCTGCACAGCACAGCCGGACAGCCCGCCGCACGCCACTGCTTACTGCAGGCCGGCCCCAGCTGCAGCCAGCCGCGCCTGTGGCGAGACTCGGTCAGCGCCCGTGTTCCCAGGAGAGCCCCCCTACTTACGCCCGTCAGCGGGAACAGCAACCGCAGCAGCACCCCAGCAACCGACACGACCGCCTCACTCGTCCAGGAGGAAGATGAATCCGCCGAAGGCAGCCCCCGCCCCACCCAAAAGGTACGGAACCCCAAATTCCCCGAGGGACTAACCAGCAGCATCTAGTCCTGCCATGGTAGATTAGCAGTCCCAAAGCGCCTCACTTCTGGAGACCCAGAATGAACTGCAGCCTCAACATTCACCCCTATCACTTCGATGGAGCCTTCTAAATACCCCATTTAAATCCCTAACAGCCCTTCCCAAAAGGGGTACCCATCAAACCCAGTTTTTTGATACCCAGAAAAGACTAAATCCCAGAGGGTCACCCTCGTTCTCTAAAAAGAGGTTCCCCCTCAACACCCCGGTTCTCCATACTTGCTGACTGCCCTAGAACCTATGCTTGACCCCCAGGATTAAGCCCCTCAAATTCACAGAACACTTTCCCCAGAGGTATACCCTTTTGAAGTGAACTGCAGCTGTTAGAGCAGGGTCAATCGGACATTGAAGCACCCATAAAAGGTGAAACGACTATCCAGCCTCCTTTCCCAAATACCCACATTTCCCTCAGTATTGAGACTACAGGGAAAAACTCTGGCCTAGCTTCCCTGATCTGGGGTAAACCACTGACATAGCTATCACCTTACGGGGGATGACATAGCTATCTGGGAGATGGCCTCGCTTTTCTGGGGGAAAACGCTCAGAAGGGAAGGGACATCAGCAGGACCGTCAGCAACACCTCTCCGCCCGAACACAGGCCGGCTGCAAACTGGGCACGGCTCAGCAACACCGCTTTCAAGGACAACCATCCGCCTTACCAACCCCTCAGCGCCTGCAGTCACAGACAGGGGGCAACACAACCACAGGGGAGGTCAGGCCACACCCTACCTGCATCAGACAGCCAACGACACAAGGAGAAACAGGGCTTCCCTTCGACACTGGTCGCTAATCAAAGGCGCCGTTTCTTCTTGTGTCCGTTGGCAAGACTCAAGTGTGCGAATGCGCGACCAGCACAACTCCCGGAAAGACCTTTGCGCAACATTTAAGCAGTACATCCTGTCTTCCTCCCAGGGGCTGTGCCAAGCGATCTTTGCAGCTCATAAAACAGAGCAGTGAGGGACTTCAGATTAGGATCATGCCTTCCCAAGCACAGGGACATCCCTCTCTCAAACAAGGGTGCTCTTAAAAACGCGCCCAAAGCTCGGCATGACTCTTCACACAACAAACAAGGCAGGCACGTTACAATGTGCCCACGAATTAACACCGACGGGAAGGGGTGGCTCAGTTTGTCAAGAACGATGGCACGGTGGCACATATCACGGGGAGATTGATACATAGTAGTGCTATTCGTTTACAATCCCTAGGCGTCCGGACTGTCTAGGCACACTACAAAAATGTGGCAAAGAAGGAGCATGGGGAAAATATCGAGCCACAGGAAACGAAGTGGTGGAACGGCAATGCCGACTTGAAACAATACAATGAGGTAAAGCAAGACTGAAAACTTTCAAATGAAAACAACTAAGGCGAAAAACAACAAAACAAAGGGAAGCAGGTACTTCAATTGTTCCTGGACATATTGTAACCCAGCAAAAGACGCAAAAAAAGATACTTTGTGAAGACGAATAAAGGAGCCCCTCACATGTCTGGGTTGGAGTCCTGAGAGGGCGACTTGGAGCGCGAGCGCTCCCGGGAAGCGCCAGGAGAGCCCCTGGCTCCTCCCCCGTTCTCGGCATCCCCGCCTCCTCCGGCAGACGGCGACCTTGCCCGACCGCCCTCCCCCTCCCCCCGGGGACTGCGAGAGCGCGACCTCGACGACCGACCGCCGTCCTTGCCCGCCCTTGGGCTGCGCGATCCGCTGCGTGCCTTCGCCTCCCCATTCACCGACCGGCTGCGGCTCCGGCCCCCTTTCGACTTGCTCTGGTTGCGGCTACGACTGCGGCTGCGCCCCGACTTGGAGCGGCTGCGGTCCTTGGACTTGGATCGGCTGCGTCCCTTCGACTTGGACCGGCTGCGCTCCTTGGACTTGCTCCGGGCCTTGGTCCGGCTGTGTCCCCTCGACTTGGATCGGCTGCGTCCCCTAGACTTGCTCCGACTGTGGCCCTTGGATCGGCTGTGGCCTCTGGACTTGGATCGGCTTCGGCCCTTGGACCGACTGTGGCCTCTGGACTTGCTTCGGCTGCGGTTCTTGGATCGGCTACGGCCCCTCGACTTGCTGCGGCTCCGGGGTTTCGACTCCCGGCGACGGGAACGGCTGCGGCTCCTCCGGGACTTGCTTCGACTGCGACTGCGGGTGCGCTTGCGGCCCTTTGAGCGGCTCCTGGAACGAGACCTGTCGGGAATAGACCGCAAGGTGTGTGAGTACCGAGAGGGCAACCACCACGGCAGCCAGAACAAGCTCTAGGCTGGAAGAAAGACCTAAGGTCATGCTGGTTCTATCATGCCACTCACTCCAGCCAACACTCAAAAGCAGGAACCCAGACTTACACCCGAGAAGACCTGGCCCCAATAAACATACACTAATTTCCTGAAAGGGATATTGCCGGTCCCAACCAAGCCCTCACCTTGTAACAAAACAAAATCCAATGCATACCTGTCTGCCAACAAGCCACCACCTGCCCAACTGATGCAAAGATATACTCTTTTTCACCCCAAGAACCTTAGGAAGAAAAGTCCTCATGGAGTTAGATAAGAAAATTAAGATCTATGCACCGCAATATCACATTAAATGGAGGTGTGCTATCTCTGGGAATGAAACAGCAAAACTCCATCTAACCACGTACCACGCGTTTAACCCGTTTCAGAACGTGATAGACACAAAATTTGCCACAAACTCCACTAAAAAAATATTGCAGACTGCAGATTTGTGTTTCATGGTGCAATTAACAAGTGGAAACCGGTTAAATGTGCGTGCCATAGAAACTGGCATTGTGTGTACAAATTGTGAACAAAAAATGCAAAAACTCAGTAAGAACTCGCATATCATGGGAATTGATATTAAGCGTGCAGAGTGCGGACAAAAATGAAGAAACCCGCTTGTCACATGCAACGGTACCGCAGGTCGTGCGGTTCTTGTCGGACGTTGCGTGATGTCAAACGGATGTCCGATGTCTGTTTTGAAATTTTTATGATATGTAAATTTACCCGGAAAAAACGGATGAGTGATCTCTGAGAGGAGGGCCCTTTGAGATTTTACAATAGGTGCATTTCAGATTAGATGTCATTCTACCAAGACATTTCAAATGCACAAAAACACTGCTTGTTCCTTCGACAACCAAATCTTGTAGGAACTACTTTGCACAGCGTATAAATAACACAATTTCTTTTTTCTTGAGGTGAAATCGAGTATAGGTGATGCACATCCTAAACCACATCATCTTGCCAGCCCAACATGCAGGTAACATTGACTTGGCCAACACACTCACAGCACAGGGGGGTTACAAACTTGCACACAAACACAGACGCTCACAACCAAGGGCAAAGTATGCAAACAGGGTGTCCACCACAGTCGCTGAATTTTTTTTAGTTAAATACCTACACTGATTTAACGGAGCAAAGGTACTAAAAAAGTCCACAGTACTGCCCCAAACACTCTGTGCAGTGGTCAGCACCAGCCCAGACGAAGTGGGACGTGGGTCACAGTACGCCCAAAACCGCAGGCTTAAGCACACATACGTCCAAGGGAATCTAGAGATCTCCCCCTCCCCATAGTTTGCTTCACTTCAAGCGAACTCCAGATTTCAAGCACGGTGCACAGACGACACACCATAGTCACTGAGAGAACGGCGGTGTTTTAGTTGTCCCACCTCCAGCCTTGCACGCGCAGCCAATTTACGGTGGAAGGCAACAACCGTATGCCAGGGGCATCCAAAAGGCATCCTCGCAGCTTCTGCTTGCACTCAAGTGAAATCGAGTACAGACGTTCGCAATGCAGGCTACGCTGAGTCCCCTTCCCGGGGCTAGACACCCTGGCAAAACAAAGTGGGAGGGAGTGGGTGGGCAGAGGCTTCTCGCGGATGGGGTGCGAGGGGGGAACACCAGAGAGGAGGGCTCGGCCAGAGAGCGCCCACCTAGAAGCGGACTTGCGGTGCTTCCTCTCCCTGGAGCGGCTCCGGGACCGGCGTCTGGATCGGGACCTCGATCGAGTGCGACTCCTCCTGCCCGTGGTAGACACCTCCCACCGGTTAGCAGACGCGTCCGTCGCAAGCGGCCCACCCGCTACCAAAGCCAAGCCAAGCCAAGCCCCCCCCCGCCCCCCCCCCCTTGGCAGACCCTCTCCCAAACTCTGAGCAGTCGGGGACAGGTTAAGAACCCAGTCTCCACTCCGTCTGCCTTCAACGCTCGGTACATGGAGGTAGGAAGAAGGAGGCGACACCGGCTCGAGCCAGCTAAGCGAAAAAAAAGCGAGCAGGAAGCAAAGGCTGCAGTCAGTGGGACGAAAAAAAAAAAAAAGCTGTTTACAATTCCCTGTGATGCCGGATTAGAGCACAGCTCTTGAGGAGGATGATGGAAGTGTACTGAAGGATAAGTATGACTCCTTGAGGTCATGTGACCTCACGGGGGCGGGGGGTCACGTCACCTCGCGGTTACATAGAAGCCGCTCAGGTCGGAAACAGGCCCCTAAGAGCTGCCCTCTAAAAAGCTCTTTGCACCAGATCTGCACCTCTTTCCACCTAAGAGTCTCATCTCCCTCGGTTTCAGCTCTAGTGGCGTCAAGTTGACGCCAGAAGCTTCCTACCTCCATGGTTCAGTCACACGCGCAGCGAAAGGCCGGCAGAAGGTGCCGAGCACGCTTTGGAGACTGAGCTTCTAATGAATTCTGAGCCTGCCAAACTAGTGGCGAGTTTGTGCGGACTCGTACGCCTCCTTTCTAGTCTCGGTGTCATTATTCCCAATCTTTTGTGGCGCAGTGTAATCAAAGAACAAATATGAGTCAAGCAACCTTTTCCCACACTGATGGCAAAAAGAATGCAGAATCTTAGAGGGCAGCCACTTCTTTATGTCAGCAGCAGACAGTGATCTGCCATTGTGCCATTCATTCATAGTCATTGACAGCACGAGAACAGCAGGGAGCTTCTCGAGATGTTCCGCTTCCTATCTCTCGTAACGCTTGGGCATTTCATGAGATCCGAGCATGAAGGGAGGAAGCTTCTGGAGGCCACATGACGTCACCAGACGAGAAGTCGGGGAACGTGGAGCCCCCTTCCTCACTGAACGCAACCTCTACTTCTAACTGGCTTGAGCCTGTATGTCGTCTCCTCTTTCTCCTACCTTCGTAGAATCAAGCACGGACGTGCAGCCGGGCACCACGAAAGGCAGTCATGCCAGGCATCCTAAACAAACGCCTTTCTAATAACGACAGGGACTACTGCTATTGATTATCCGAGGCTGCCATATTGTGGGCAAATACCCCGAGCATGCACTGCAACGAGTGCTGCTCAGTCTTCCAGGCATACTTGGGTCAAAATGCATTCAACACAAGTGCCACGTCACTGCTCGGACCCAAAAAACCCTTCCAAAATTGTGAAATGATGCACAGCAACCATTCATTGGTCTCACTGATTCTGGCATGAAGCCCATGATTGGTTCCTTCCGAGTTTGTGGCGAGCACCGACGCATCACTCGAGTGGAATATGTTTCAATTTGCACACCAACAGAGCGTGTTCAAATTGCGCTAAAAAGCTGCGGGAACTGAATAACGACTCTCATGTGATAAGAATATGTAATATGCTTGCAAACTGTGGACAAAAATGCAGTGACCCGCTCCGAGCCTGCTTCTCACGTGAAACGGTAGCACAGATTGCCCGGTTCCTGCCGGATATTGTGTGATGTCCGACAGTAATTTTTATGCTACGGATATTTAGCCAGAACCCTTTCTGAAATGATGCACAGATTCTGCGCAGCCGCCATTCATTGCTCTCACCACTTCCGGCGTGAAGCCCGCCATTGGTTGAGTTTCCGCCGAGCACCGATGCATCAATCCCTTGTGCGGAATGCATATCAGTCCGAATGCTGACGAAGCGCTCGTGTCCGAGTGCTTACAGTGCACGACCAACTAATGGCACCCGCACCTCACCTATGTATCATTTCGAAAAGGGCCTAATGCACGCCAGGTGCAGGAGGTGACGTCCAATATATTTGAGCTGGAAGTGTCGCTCGGAGTATGTTCTGTACAACTAAGAACAAACGTTGCCGATGAACGGCGCTGAATTAAATGGTGTGATACAATTCTGCGGCGCCCCCGTTATACTGAACCAGGGATGGGCAGTATTTCAAATACAAGTATTTGAAATATGTATTTCAAATACTTTGTGTATTTTGCATTTAATTACAAATTGGGTAATGTATTTGACATGCATATTTAAATACTAAAACAAGGGTATTTCAAATACAATTGTAATTAAATACATATTTGTGGGCGAAAATACACCTCTCAAACTTATTGTCACTGTCCAGAGCAGGAAGAAAACAACGTCCTGCATCGAATGCAGTGTCTCTCAAGCATAAGCGTTTAGTGACGAAATCGACGTTCACAGGCAGACTGGTTAAATAACTGCCTATGACAACTTGTGATTCTTTCCAGCCTGATTTCCATCTACATTTTTGCCTGGAACATTCTAAATTCGTGGGTCGTCCAGATTTTCGTAGCTGGTGCGAGCTGCAACAATAACAAAATTCTGTAGCTAGTGCTGTGCGTCTTTGTCGTCTCGGTTCTTTGTTGGTCTATACCAAAATGTAATCGACAAAAAAGCTGCTTGAAGCTCGGAACTTTTTTCGCTTATTACGTCCAAGCTGATTACATTTTTTGTGATTATATTTCTATTACGTTACTCGCACATTAACTCCCGAGTGTGCGATGCAAATTTAAAATGAGATACCCAGAAACCCGTTGCAGGTGCCCTAAAGTCGCTGACGCAAATTTTGAGGAATGTATTTGGAAAAGTATTTGGAGGAGAACAAATACATTCGGTCGTATTTTTATCTTGTTCTAAAATGCTTTTTTGAAAATTTAATTAACTTGTAATTAAATACTTTTGACGAAGTATTTTGTATTTGTATTTCCATACATATTTGCATGTATTTTGCCCATCCCTGTACCGAACCAATATAAATATTATTATTATTCATATAAACACCAGAAAGGCACTTGGTTTCGAAGTAGACCAGTTTTGCCTTTGGCGCTCGCAGCGCGCCTGATACGGCAGCGGCGAACAAAGGTACCATGGTGTTGGAAATAATGCGTCACACAAAATCCATTGTTCTGGCCCGAACCCCCCCCAGTGGGGTGAAGCTCTCGGCTACTTCCGTCCCGCCGCGTATACTTATGACGTTTGTCCGGTCCGGCGAACTGCTTCCGATTGCCGCGCTCCCAGCGGCTGTTGGCACTTGTTATTTTATTTTAAATAAAATTGATTCATATATTTAATGATGCGAAATAAAAGTGAAGTTGTTTTGAAGGTGTGAATGGCTTTGAAGCTTGTTATTGTAACTTTCTCTTTCACTCTTTCAACGTGTCTGGGCGCGCTTTTTTCTCTCTCTCCGAACCCACGCCTCGCGCCTCGAGATGCGCTGGCCGCTGGCGCCGGGAAGTCGGTGGACCGTTAGAACGCGCGAGGGACGCGAGCCGGCGAGTTGTTTCGCTTCTGGGAGTGCGTCGCGGCGTGAGATTCGTCCAGCGTTCGTGCGCGCGCGGCTATCTTTTCTTTTTCGTGGGAACTTGTTGTTGGTGTAATGTGATCAAGCATGGATTTTCGTCATCAACACACCACCTGATGTGCCAAGTGGGGAAGCAATGACTGCCGAAAGCCGGGACATCAATGGTTTCGAGTTTGAATGGACGTGCGGTACGCTCTTTTGGTCGTCTCTTGCTTAAAGTTTCTGATTAGATGTTTGCAACAAAACCTAACTGTCGCAGTGGTAGTGAGTATTAATTGTTTGATTTTGGCAATAGCTACAATGGTTTCCAATCACAAAACCAAATCCTATCATTGTTCAGGATTGCTCTTCACTCGCCGCGAGAAATATGTCATTGTCAAATTACTGGAGACTTCTGTGTAGACTTTGTCATATCAAGATCGAGCACATATGCTCACTTTAAAAGATGGCAAACTTTTTGCTGTGAGCTGTTTATTTGGCACTGTTGTCAGCGATTCACGCGTCTGTTCGCGAGGAGTGAAAATATGAGCCTAAATATTTTTCGATTACTGTAACTGAGGATGAGCGATAGAGCGATCCGCTCTGGTTTCCCGTTTCGTTTAGCAGTGACTCACTCCTAAAATTAAGTGATAATGTTAAAAACGAATGGGCAGGTTCTCGATGAAGACTCAATACCAAAGAGCTGAGCTGTATTCTTGGTACTCATTGCTTAGTTTCCTTCGTCGCACGTAACCTTAACGTTTTATCCTGTTTTGTTGTTCAGTTCTTTGTTTCTCGTCTGCAAAACAGTGAGAGATTTCGTCTGTATTTTCTACTGTCTGCTGAATAAAAATGAACGTAAAAGGACGAGCATTGCATATTTTTTGTGTATGTGTCACTTTCGTTGCTTTGCTAGGTTTCTGCTGCTTTGCTGCTGGTCTCGCTTTTCAGTGCTGGCTTGTGTGTGTTTCAACGCACATTAACCAGCATTGAAATGCGAAAACCAGCCGCAAAGCAGCAGAAGCCTAGCAAAGCAACGCGCAAACCGGGCTAAAAAAAAAAAAAAAAGAGCTACAATATATATATTTTTAACTCTAGGTGGCGCAAGCTACCGCCCATCCATCCAAGCACAATGGCGCTGCCGTGCAGTTTCGGTTTTGGTTTCGCTGTGCCGCCATGTTGATTTTAGTACAGCCACCAGATACCAGGGGATTCAAATGGCGCTGCGGCCTCCCAGGGTTTTCCAATTTGCGTTCCATGGGCGGTATAGGAAGTTGCACTCCTCTGCCCCCCCCCCCAAAAAAAATTACCATCCGAGATGGAAAGGCGGTGGTAGATCGGCCGTGAACTCACCGTGATCGCCTTCTGCTCCTCGACCGCGATCTGGAGCGAGACCGGCGACTGGACGATCCGCCGCCGCTGTAGCGGCTTCCCCGGGACGACTGGCGGTAGGGGTCGGTAGGCCTACCGTAGCGCGCCATTTGCACGCGGAGCTCGCGGCCGTCCAAGATGTAACCGTCCAGGGCGTCCATGGCGTCTTCGCCGTCCCGCTTGTCGTAGAATCGCACGAAAGCGAAGCCTCGGCTGTCCCTCGTGTAGGGGTGACGCGGAATGTAGACGTCGCCAACATCTCCGTACTTCTCGAAGACGCGTTTCAGGTCCTCCGGCGTGGTGCGGTACGTTAGGTTATCTACCTTCAGGGAGGTCATCCCATCGATGGTAGGCGGGCCGCGGCCGTAACTCATCTTGGCGAAAGCGGGAGGCGACGACCGGCCTCGTCAACGTCTCGATCCGTCCTCTGGAGCGCGCTCGAACGACGACGCTGCTTCTCACGAACAATGAACGCAACTCGCACGTTGAAATGGCGGCTGCGTACTCTCGATCACGGTGCTCTCGATACTCTCCAACGAAGCGATTCTAGGCTGCGCTATCACGTGACTCAGTTTAATACTTTATTATAGGTATTGTATATTTAATATAACTGCTGTAACCATAGATACATTATTAACTGATAAATATAAGTACCACTGATCTCTATGGTTTGCTGGGCGCTGGGCTGTGCTTCAAAAAAGTCACGTGATGCCCTCCCTCTTGTTTTCTTTTTTTCTGCTGCCCGTTTGTTTTCCCGCCTCGGCAGCAGTAGAAGAAACCAACTTGCAACTTGCAAGCGAACGGCCTGTTCTAAAGGTGACCACAACTTCATAAGTTAACTTATCCCATTTTTACGAGATGATAGAAAGATGTGTCCATCCTCCAGTCCATGCATGTTTCGTGCGTGCACAGTTGGGACGGTACATCGTAAAACACAAACACCGTCGGCTACCGGACGTAAAGTACACAACTTTCTGTCCAATCTCTATTTTATTAGGCGACAACTCAACACTTGTCGAACAAAGGGCGGTCAAAAATATATATATATATTTTTTTATTTCGGGTTAGCAAAACCGAGCTTTCGCGAAATCGGCCTGTTCACGCGTGAAGTTTGACGCTCGAAACCTGTGACGTATTTTCGCCAAACCTTGTCATCTGCACCGGGAATTACGAGCGTTTCGCATAAAAATGAAACGAAGTACGCATAGGGAAAAGACAGTCTGCTTTATGAATACCAATCGTCAGATTCGGCTCACTGGGTTTCCTAGGCCTTGATGAAAAACGGCGCGAAACAAGGACACATAGGAGAGAATTGACCTTTTTCAGAGATCGCTGGGCGCATGCGCCGACTCTGAGAGAGGAGAGGAAAGGGAAAGGCGCCATTTTTGGTGGCTCTCTCGCCCGCTCGGTCGCTCAGACAGTGCTGGTTATGCTTGACTCTTCCGGTATTCTCGCGGCTTGGCTTCATAGTCGTCAGGCCTCACCACCGCGCAGCAGAAGGTTGCGCAAATAGAGGCAAACATTGTTAAAATTCCAAGTTTTATAAAGTTCTTGTAGCCTTTGGTGGGTGGTGCACGAAAGCACCCGATGTCAAAACACCCCGCCGTTTTTGCCCTGCTTTCAAAAGCCTATGACGAGAGTCCCCCGTGTCAAGTGGCTGGAACATCAATGTGACGGCGGGACATTCTGCTTTTAACTAAAATACAGTAAACGTGAACAAGATGATATAACTGAAATAGGGGTAGGAAAAGGAAAACGCAAACGGACACGAAAAACGGGCAACGTCTTCTGAGACGTTGCCCGTTTTTCCTTTGCCGTTTTCCTTTTCATAACTCAGTCTCAGGTTTCATAATTGAAAATGAGCGTGTTGCTGATTAGATACGAATACATGACAAGATAAAACATCAAGGACGGGGACGGATACGGGACCTTTTGAAAGAGGTACTCTTTCCGTCCCTGTCCTCGATGTTCCATCAAGCTTTCATGTCTTCAACTTACACCAGCTCGCCTGCACTGTGATCATTTTTTATTAATAGTAAACGTGGAAGCGAGGTTGTGTGACGTAATCATGCCATACCCGGTACTGAATTAAAAAATAACAGCATAAAGCTTTCCGTTCTTCAGGCGTGCGCTATGCACATTCGCGTCTTGCCACGTTAAAAAAAAAATTGACAAAACATTTAAAGCGAGCGAAACGAATTTAAGCCTTACGGAGACAGAACCTTGATAAACTTTCTTGGCAACCAACTGTGAACTTGTGGCTGTTTGCTCTTTGCCCTGTTTGCTGGGCCCACTTTGTCGAAGGTTCGTAAACGTGCCGAATTCAAAGACGGATTGTTTCTAACATACCGTTCCTTACTTTTTGACGGTGCAGGTTCGCGATATCAAGACGGCCCGGATTTCGCACCGTCCGAGTTTGTTTACACATTCCCAAATACGGCAATGTCCCGTGCCCTCGCGCGGTACGCAGGACGGCGAAGTGACGGACCGCGATAAGCTTGAATAACTTAGGCGATCAAGGAGAGTAAATTAAGCTGTTTGTAGTGGCCGGGCCTCATAAACGGAGCTCACAAACTCCGCACAAGGTGGATGGTTGGGTCGGTATCCAAGCTGGTCACCATTACTCTCCTTACATAACACTCTGCGACTCTGCTTTGAATACAGGCCCCTTTTTTAGTTGCTTGCAAGACGCGACACCGAAGTGACGATGAAGTGACTCCGAGTCGATGGTAAGAACCGATGCGGCGTCGGCGGTCTGTCCATCCCTGAAGGTATAAAAACGAACGAGGTCCTCTGTATCCTAGACATTGACTTTTGTTAATCCTCTAGGTCGTTCTCAGCCATTTCGAAGAAAATATGCACGCGAAGTGACGACAGAAAGACACATTCAGAATGGTGAAGGACGGAACAACGCCACCAGAAAACACACGCAAACACATGCACCGGGAGACAAGCCACGCCTGGCGCGGACGACGGAGAGACGTTCCCGGAGCCACCAAAAGTGTTTCGAGGGATGCCCGCGAGGGCGCGCCACGATCGTGGCCAAACTCTGAAAAAGGTCAATTGCAGACAGGACAAGGCGCTGGCTTTTTGAAGAAAGACGAAAATAAGAAAGTTGATGAATTCTTTCATCAAAATAAGAAAGTTGATAGCCAGCGCCTTGTCCTGTTTGTAATTCTCTCCTCTGTGTCCTTGTGTTTCGCGCCGTTTTTCATTATGAACGTACCGGATGTTTGTGAGAAATCTGAGCCCGGCTTTTCGCACCGCAGAAATAAACAAGACATCGCGGAGAGCTCGAACTCCGTCAGAACGTAGCCTCAGCCGTTCGAGCAAGATGCCAAAGTTTCAGCACCAACCGTTATCTTATTAAAAAGTTGGAAGTGTTTTTTTTTTTTTTTTTTTTTTTTTTAAGTTTTAATGAGAAAATGGGACCCATTTTCGCCAGTTTTCGGTTTCTGGCGCCATAGAGTTCCATGTGCTCTATGGGCGCATGTCTGTTTTTTGTGCCTTACACCATGATTTCCAGTTCCATGTATTCGAGAGCTCCGTCGGCTGCCTTTTTTTTCATTGAAAGTTTCTGAAAATCGCTTATATAGCTTTTGAATAAGATAACGGTTGGTGGTGAAACTTTTGGCATAGTTGGTCTAGTTCATTTTTGCGGTGCGAAAAGTCAGGTTCGGGTTTCTCAGAAACAACCGGTTATACCAACTAGCCCAAGGGAGGCACTCACTTGATCTAATGACGTGTTAGCGAACACCACCGAATGACACTTGTTGAATAGTTGGTCGCCGCGAAGTGGCATTTACAGGTGGGCCAAGTGGGTTAACATTTTTGTAATGAGCTGCCGCGAAGCAGCATAAGCGCAGCACAGGGGGTGGGTTAACCCGCGTCCCAGTTGTTTGCTAAAATGCCATTCGCTCGTGATATGGACCCTTAGCCCGACTGTCCATTTTAGGAAGCTTTACTAGGCTTGCCAAACCCGGTAAAGACCGCAAACGTCAAAGAACAGGCGAATGTTCTCGAAGCATTTCGGACATTTTTGCACCGCTAAAAGAAAGTTCCTCCGGTCATCACGTTTATATGCGGTGCTTGCACTCGTCGTGACTGTTCATGAATCTGCACCGCGCCGCCAAACCTGCCCGTACTGACTGCTTCTCCGCCTGTTAATCGCCGCCATCTTTGCTTTTCTCTTTTTGACTTGGGCGTTGGGTTTCTATTATTGGCGAGGAGATTGAACTATGGGGGTGCTCTGACCAATTTGTTGCTAAAGCCCCTTCATGTTTCAAAAGTAGGACAAGGTCTGTCGATGCTTGAGGAACGTGCAGCCCTTGGGAAGATCATGACGGCACTGCGCAGAACTGAGCTAGATTTAAGACGCCATTTTCTTCCAAGAAAACGGGCACGGGGGGCCCGTGTCTCAAGCATTTCCACAACAATAAATGGTGCCACTTTTCCCAAGATAGGGGGGCTTTATTGGTTGTCCCCATAACTCTGTGTTTACCCAACTCAAGGCCCGTGAACATGCCTACGGTCCTTGTGGGCATGTTTATGTTTTAACGCAAAAATACGAAGCAAACAAAGTAACGTTTATTGTTAGTGCCAGATCTCTCCCGAAAGCAATCGTCGGAGAATGCGAGCTTGACCTACTTTGGCTTTTGTGCTGAGCCGGGCATATGCACCGTGCATGCTGCATTGTTCATTCAGGCTGGAGTGGTAGCAGAAGAGCCCCTCCTCCGCCTCACCGGAGAACAGAAACTCCAGCCGAACGCTGACACGCCGATCGGCTAAGTCGGCCGAGCGCTGAATCATTGTTATTTTGTTGTCCCGATCCCTGTAGTCCTAAAGATAGCCGCTTGGGGCGCCACGGTCTGATGTCATCCCCAGTGCTCCGTTTCACCATAACTTGGCAAACTGTGGAGGCTGTGGCCCCCACGACCCAATAAGGGCCCCGGAGCAAGGCACATTATTACTCCGTGGTCGAGGCCACCGGGGCCTCGTTACCGCCTCAGCAAGAGAGCCCTCCGAGGCAACAAGTAGTTCTAGGCTTTTTTTTCTTTTAACGGCAATTGAACTCGTGCGATTCTATCTATAACGAGAAGATACAAAGAATAAATAATCACAAATTTCAGAGTTTCAATTATATTTACACCAAAAAAGTGATGCCCCATCCGTATTTGCTAGATTTTTTTCGCCTCGTGGCGCCGTGGCCCTTGACGATCGCAGCCCTGTAACCGGCCGTTTCCGCCTAAAGCATTGCACTGTGCCCTGACATTAGCACCCGTCGCAGATTTGCGTCTAAATGGATGACACAAATTCTCCCGTGGCGTTGGGTCACAAATACAATCGCTATGACCGATTGTCATTGTATCTGGTCGTTATAAGCGGTACATCGTTATGTGCAGTATAGGTGGATTGCACTGCAGTGTTGCAGCTTGACGATTTCAGCTGAGACTGCATGTATGGTAAAGTGTAGTTGATTTTTTCAGCGAAAAATGTATATTTCAACCCTTTGTATAAATTGAGTAGGCACAGAGTGTGCAGCATGTTTTGAACCGTGCTCGGTGTTCCTGAGCTCGGAGGTCGCACTAAATTCCTCTAAAATTAGCCGGAAGCATTTCCCTGCTAAAAATCAGAAAACCTGGTGCATAAGTATTCACCAAATCAATTTCGTCTCTAAATTTAGGGGGAACGATCTAAGTTTGTGTATAAATACACACCAAGTCGGATTGTTGTACACATGTATACCCCTTGAATTTCCCCGCTAAACTTGGCGTCGGGTAATACATTTGCGTTGCGCTTCCACGCTACAACCTTTGCATTACACAGTGATGGAAGTGCTGCGCCAATTCGCGCCATGGGGGAACGTCCGCCACATCTTGCGCCAAAGTGCAATTTTTGATAAGAATTGCGCCACACGTGCGCCGAAATGGGCTTAAAAAAAGTTGACTAATTTATTATTGGTCAACCCTAATATTCGGAAAAGTAGAAGCAAAGGAAAATTGTACAGATATGAGTTTCACAGCGTCTCTACTCATTATATAGTTTGTTTCGTCTTGGGTCAGAGCACATTCGAAGGCTCGAGCACACACAACCACAAACACTAAAAGCTCGAGTCACGCAACATTCTCCGCACTTGATTGGTGTAGCCGATGAAAGAACACGTATGAGGAAATGAAGAATGCCAGAATGTCCTGCTTTGATGCTGCAAATCAACTGGCCAGGGCAGTTGGTGCTAGGCATCAACAGCTCTGGCCGGTTGATGCAATGGCTGGTTAATCTCCGACATCGTCTAAAGTTCCGCATGATGTCGTCGATTCCGAGAAAACTTTGCAAAGTAGTGAGATTGCCGATTGCGGCTACTGTGATAAGACAGAACTAGGGTCTTGGGTACTCCTCGTAAGATCACTCGATTATTGTGCCTGCCACGTGCCTTTGTCTCGTGACTGCAGAATACCGTAGCACTCCGGTGCAAGGCTTCACAGCTTTGCACCAGAGTGCTAAAAGCAGCGGCTGACCTGGGGGAGCGCCTGACTTAGTTTGATAGTCGCGCAGATAATACTGAGGATTATTACAGGTCGACCTTCTTTGACCTAATTGTAAATTAATCTGTAATAAAAAAAGAAAGAAACTGAGCCGAGAGACAGAGAGAGAAAAGAAAACAAGGGTCTATATATTCTTGAATAAATATGGTAGTCAAATAGTTCCTGTGCAGCTGCAGATCGAAAGAGCAGCGAAGTTTGACGTAACTCCGAGTCCTTCGCCGCTAGTGTCAACTTTAATGGCCGATTCACACGACAGACTGATCCGCAACCGGGTTGATCACGTGGCGACGTGTCCGCGGTTCGTTTGTCTCCCAAGCACACCCACACGAGGGAGACAGCAAGCAGACACCAGTGAGGACAAACCGAACCTGTTCGCCACCGCTCAGTGCCGCGAAACTCTAACATTGCACTGTGGCACCGTTGCCCAAGAGAGAAATCGACGTTTGCTACCGCAATAGAGAATTGTACGCTGCTGTTACATACAGATTGAGATACAACACCATAATGGGCTTCGCGCGAAACGCCATTAGCTTTACTAACCCAAGGCATGACTGCGACACACGCATATTCAATCTTCGAGAATTGTTCGGCGTGCAAGCGACGAAGTTCTGGGCTTGCGGAGGGCGTTTGGAGATGCCTTCACTCACTCCGCGCTCGTGCACTACACTCAGGCACACCACAGCCAAAAGAAACGTCTCGCTCGGTAAAAGGCTGACTAGATGGGCGAGAATTTTCGCGGCATGATAGACAAGTTTTGACGGAAGCTCCTTGACACGGACCTGGAGGAGTAGCGCAGCCTGCGTCGCGTCAGCTGTACAAAGGTTCTGCAGTTTCTTTCACGCGTGAAACCAAGAATCGCGCACCAAAATTAACCAGCGAACGCACAAAACACAACAGTGCGCCATTTTTGTTTTAATCGTCCGAAAAAGAAAAGAAGAGCAAGAAAACACTATTTTTGCCAGACAAGCTTTTCAATTCAATCTCCTGCCGAAAATCCACGAGTGAAAAGGTGCTAATCTTTATCAGCCTGCATACGAGGCGCGGATCGCGGGAATCGGTGACGCGACAATCATTTGGTACACGGTCCGCAGACGGAAATCGCGGTTCGGTTCATCGCGTGAATAGGTTACAAAAAACAAGTGTAGGATTTTATAATTTTTTTTTGTGCTTGATTTTGCAGCGTATGATATTAGAGTTTTGAGTTTGATAGGTTCATTGAACTTTCGGGAAACATTTTTATTGGTAGATGTGTTAGCAGATATACTGGTTTTTGCTGGCATTTCACAAATTATATTTAGAAGCTAAACAAACTACCGACTGTAAAATGCAAGGTGAGAGAGGATTTATCGCAATGAAGTATTGCGCAATGCTGCACTTTTCAATCATTTTTTAATGCCCATAGTAAATTAAACCTACTCCGACTAGTCTTATTTATGAAGACTGTGTTCCTTTTACGCCCTCTCTATTCTTATCAATAACAAGTAATATGCTCGAGTATCAAAGTGGAACCCTTGATCACTATCACGAATGAACTCGTTTAGAGATGCAATCACTTTTTCATTCTTAAGTGATGTGCTAGCAGATGTTGGCATCTGCTCCAAAAGCGTCAGTGGGTGCTCCAAAACAATATTTTGCCTGCTGCAGAAGCTGCTATAAAATTTCAAATGTGGCTTCCATCGCTGATTACACTCATTTTGGGGACACTTTTTTTATTAAGCATACCTCAGCGTACACAGATTCGGAACCACTTCCCTAAGCTGGTGTCTCCGAGGCGAAGCGCCAGCCTATGGTGGCGGGTTCGATTCCGTGTCGGGGTTCCCGCAATCTGACGGAGGTGCAGCGCAAAGGTTCTGCAGTCGCAGCATTTTCTGGAAGTGGAGGTTTTCCTCCGGTTTGCTTTGGCACATTTTTCTTGCCACTTCTCCGCTTGCATCCTTGGACGTCTGCCACTGACACGCTCTGCTGGCCCCCACTGTCGGTCCCCGATTTCCCGAAAACAAAAAGGGAGGAAGCCAACCGTGCAGTTTGCATGGTTGATGCCCTCGCTGAAAACAAACATGTGTACCGAAACCTTCATTTTTTTTGAGCAGCACTTTTTTCCTGCACGGCATCTGCTGTGTTTTGCATAAACAGCCCTTAAAGGGATGCTGAACCAAAATTTAGATTTCGCAAAATAGGGCCGCAGGAGCACTGAGTGGGATGCTACAAGCTTCAAAACATCACTCTTACATTGATATCTCAAACGGATGGCCATACTTTTGGAAAAGAGCTATGTGATCAGGGGGGGACTGTGACGTCACAATCCTGCTGGAACAGTTGAGAATGAAGGGAAGTGGCCTCGCTTCAGTTCATCAGCTTGAGGGGATGAAGCAGAGAGGACAAAGAATGAGAATTGTGACGTCACTTGTGTCGTTGGCCTCGTCAACCGTGTTCAGTCGCGCACTCTTTTTCCACAAATACCTTCATCCGTTAGAAATATTGTTGTACGAGTGATGCTTTTGGGTTGGGCCACCATACCCTCCTTCTCCTCCTAGAAACGTCACCGGCTGTCACATTTGTACATATCTATATTTCTTTCTCAAATTCTTTAGTACGATATATCCCAAAATCAAAATACCTCAAGAGCTGCACTCGTAATTTTGCATTACAGAAATTTGTAAACGGCGTTCATTTTATAGCGCAGCTCTTAGTGTCTGTTTCCGGCTTGAACGTTGTCGCGGTCGGTGTAACCGTGCGTTGCATTGTACAACGTTTCCCATTGTGACGTCTCGTGGGATATCAGAAGGTCCAAATGTGCCCGCTAAGTTTGTCAGGAAATTTTTCCGCTATATGTAGCGGGAGAATGGTTTTGCTAAATTTATCGGAAAAATTTTACCCTCGTGACGTCACGTGACCCTCCCCTCTTCAAGAGCTGCGCTCTAATTCGCCGTTACTGAGAATTGTAAAGGTCTTTCACTTTTTCCCCCGCAGACTGGCACGATCGGAGACCTGGAGCCAGCGCCATGTGTCCGGGTGTGCAGGAGTCCCTCCAGTACTTTGCCATTGCGGCCATGTGCCACAACCGGGGCATCGGCGTCCTCAACACGCTGCCCTGGCGGCTCAAGAAGGAGATGGCGTACTTCTCGCGCATCACCAGCCAGGCGGCCGAGGGCAAGACCAACGCGGTCGTGATGGGGCGCAATACCTGGGACTCCATCCCACCCAAATATAAGCCCCTGCCTGGAAGGTGAGGGACTTGCCAGAGTCACCCGATTTTGGAAATGGGGCCATGGGCTTCAGCCTTCCTGGTTAGTGAACACTATCGTAAAATACGGCGGAAGCGCCCACTTTGTTCAAGCACCCACTATTAATGTGTTCCAAACTTTGGAATGCTGCAAAATATATGTTCAGCGTCCGATTTGACTGGACAAGTATCCATGACTAGATTATTTCATTTCATTTATTGAACCTTAAAGGGAAGATGGGGCACTTCTACATTTGAGAAAAAACGCTTGAATTGCATTCATTTGGCCTTTAGATTAACAGATATCAAAATTGTATTTCAATGCGACGCGCCGGAGAGCCATACGAGCAATTTCGAAATAGGACTGAAGCCCCGCCTCCCTAGCCTTGGGCAGCCAAAAGAGCCGTCGATGACGTCACGGACAGCGACTGTCTTTCGCGTTTTTCTCGCGTTTAACAATACTTACGCAGCAAATGGTTTGGGTATTCGGGTTCACGGGGTAAAAATACACTAGAATTCACTTCTAACTCATTTTTTCTAAGAAGCTCCGTAGCTTCCCTTTAAGGGCCCGTGAGGGCATTACATAAGGGGGGGATCATTCATATTATACATTGGAAAAAACGGACACAAAAAAAATACATTCTGGAAAAGGTTGGTAAACAGTTAACAACATAAAAAGTGCGATTGAAGACTTGATTTAAAGGCGTTTGGTTCTACGATGGTGACGATGGAGGATGGGAGGCTGTTCCAGTCATTGATAGCTTGTGGGAGGAAAGATCGGTTGAAAGCGTTTGTTGAGCCAGAGATCCTTTTGATGGTACAGGCATTGCTTAGGCGAGATGATGTTCGATCGGGAGGTGATAATAATGCTGTTTTAAGTTCAAGACAGTCATAATAAATTTTGTGAAGGAGGCAGAGCTGAGAGATGTTCCTACGAAGCTGCAAAGAAGAAAGGTTGAGTTGACTATTAGTGAAGAGACACTGATGGAGTTATCGTACGTGGAGAGGATGAAACGAGTGACCCTGTTTTGAATTGCTTCCAGATGATTGATAAGGTAGCCTTGATGGGGGTTCCAGATGGAGGCAGCATATTCTAATTTAGGTCGGATAAGTGTGTCGTAGGCCAGTATGCGGACAGTTGGTGGAGCAGGTCGAAGGTTACGTCGGAGTACTCCCAGGGTCCTGGAGGTGTCTGCGGAGATGGCTTCAATGTGATTATTCCATGAAAGGTCTGATGTTAATTTTACACCAAGATATTTGTACGAAGGAACGGTCTCAATTAAATCGGAGCCCAAGTAATATTGGTAGGACAAAACAGTTTTTTTTTTTCTAGTGAAACTGATTAGTTTACATTTAGATTTGTTTAATGGCATCAGCCACTGTTCACACCATCTATTAATTTTTACTAAATCATCTTGAAGTTGAATGTTATCATGTTCACTTGTTACTTTGTTATATACGACACAGTCATCTGCAAACAGGCGAATATTAGACAGAATGGTGGCCGGAAGGTCATTTATGAATATTAAAAAAAGTAGGGGACCCAGTACGGACCCTTGGGGAACACCAGATGAAACGTTTGTTAGGGCAGACTCATGGTAATTAGTAACGGTGTATTGCACACGGTGAGAAAGAAAGTCACGTATCCATGAGAAGATTAGCGGGTCAAGACGTAGGGATGCCAGTTTGGATAGTAGTCGTTGATGGGGAACATGATCAAAAGCTTTCGAAAAATCCAGAAAGATGGCGTCAGTCTGAGCCCGACACTCGAGATTAGTATGTAGGTCATGAATGAAGTCTCAAAGCTGCGTCTCACAGGAGAGTCCCTTTCTAAATCCATGCTGCTTTTTGGAAAAAAATCTATTAGTTGTTAGGTGACTCATAATTTGCGAATATAGTATATGCTCAACAAGTTTAGATGCGATTGAAATTAAAGATGTTGGACGATAGTTTGAAACCAAACAGCGACTTCCCAGCTTGAAAACTGGGACGATCCTGCCAACCTTCCAGTCAGAAGGGAGGGAGCTTTCAGATAGTGACTGGTCAAATATTAATTTTAAGAACTCACTCGAGATACTGGTAGTATTTTTTAGAATTTTTGAATTGATGTTGTCGGTACCGGCGGATGATGAGAGTTTTAATTTGGCAATGAGGTCTCGAATACCGGCTGCGCTTACACTGATTGGAGGCATGGTTTCGTAAGGTTGCTCGGGGAGGCTGAAAACAGTGTTCAAACACTCGTTAGTAAAAATGGAAGAAAAATATTCGTTAAACACTGTAGGAATGTCTCTCTCTGGAATGGGATCGCCGTTGTCGGTACGTAGCTGGATGGCAGAGTTGTTGTTCTTTGGTGAAACCATATTCCAAAACTTCCTCGGGTTACTCCTCAAAATGGACAGTAAGTCATTAAAAAAGAATTTATTCTTGGCTTGTTTTATGCTCCTGGTGTAGTTTTTTAATGCAGAATTGTAGACATCCCAAGACTGGCTGGTATCTAACCGTTTGGCCTTTACAAAAAGTCTTTTTTTCTTGTTTCGCAAAGAGAGCAAGGTTTTTGTAAACCATGGATTACCTAAATCGGTGCGTACACGAACTGTAGGAACAAACATTTTTACTAGATGATTCATTTTAGTTTTAAATAATGTCCAGTTTTCTTCTACAGATCTAATATGAAAATGAACGACGTAATTGTCAAAGAAGATTGCCAACTCGCTGTTTATCGAGATATAATCAGCTCTGTTATAATCGTGAATAGTTTTGGAAATGGGATGCTTGGTGAGAGTGGGGAGTGACAAATCAACATGCAGCAGCCTGTGATCACTGAGCCCGTCACAGTACTGGATACACTTGACAAGATCCGGTGACGTAGTTAGTATTAAATCGAGAATATTTCCCAAACGAGTTGGTTTATCAACAAGCTGTGTAAGGTTCAGAGTAAGACACATGTCTAGAAAATGTGCGGATGTGGCCGAGCCTACGGATGAAAGGTTTGACCAATCGATTTGAGGAAAATTAAAATCACCAAATAACAACATATCAGCCTTTGGAAACCGATCTCGTATATCAAGTAAGACAGAGCATAGATCAGTATGAAATGATGAAGCACAATTTGGTGGCCTATAACATACGCCCACAATGACCTTATTTGATGGCGTACAAACACATATGCAAGTAAATTCCAAGTCATGGTTCGCTAAACAGATATCAAAAGAAGATATAAAACTCTTTATTGCGATAAGCACACCGCCACCCCTCTGGCCATGCCGGTCGTGGCGGAAGATTTTGTAATCTAGGTTTCGCGGAAAAAGCTCCTTATCTTCGATTTCAGGGTTTAACCAAGTTTCTGTCAAAATGACTAAATCTGATGAGCTGTCCTCCAGTACACTGTGAAACTCGTTGCGTTTTGGCATGAAGCTGCGAATATTAGTGAAAAGAACAGAAAGGCTTTTCTTTTTATCGCGCAAGGCGGCATAAGGGGATGACGGTAACGCTTTATTTTTGCCAGAAGCATGTAGCTATGAAAATTCAACAACTGTTTGAGATTCCGAGTTAAAAATAAAACGCTTGTCCGCATGCAGTTTGTTAAAACGCACTTTAAACGGCACGTTCATACTCCTACCATACTCAAAAAGTTTGGCACGGGCAACTCGCACAGACGCAGAAAAATCTTTGCGTACAGCGTAATGGGTGCCTTTCAGTTTGAACCCACAAGCCAGGATGCTCTCTTTGTCTTTAAATCGGGCAAACTTAACTATTATTGGCCTAGCTTTCTGGGGCTCGAATTTCCCTAGGCGGTGTAATCTTTCTAAATTTGCGGCATCAAGCTGGATTCCCAGCTTGCTCGAACAAAACTCAATAATTTTTTGTTTCGACTGCCCCCATGTTTCGGTGCTGTTATCTGGGCAGCCAAAGAACAACAGATTTGACCTCTGAAGCCAACTTCGTTGTCATCGCACTGCTTCCGAATATTCGCTAGGTCAACAGGAAGATTTTCATCATGGGGGGTTAGAGATGCAGAGTTCCTATCAGCCAACTTCGTTTCTACAGCACTCATCCTTGAAAACAATTGTTGGACAGATATCTCGGTAGCCTTTTGTCCGCTCTCCAGTGACGAGATTGTTGCCAGCAAAGTTGTCTGAGCAGCCTCGATTCTCTGGACAGCTGCAAGAATACTCGTGATTTGCTCACTATCGGTTAGTGGTCCCGGGTTTGCCTCCACGTCTCCGGACATTAACAAAAGGAGCCGAGAAACATAAAAAATGTATGAGTACTGCAAACAGTAAAAACACAGCCACTTTCGCCAGAAAAGGTCGTTGGGGCACGACATCGCAATAAAATTCGGATTTCTACTTCGAGAACAAACTGCATTCGGAAGGTAACCAACCTGAAGAAGGGAGAGGTTTTGCATCGCTGTTTGTCTGGCGACGCCGTGCCCCAACTGGCCATCCATAGCGGTCGGCTTATGTAGCCACCCGTCCGGGTAGGAACCATGTGATGTTACAGTGCTTGATTGTTGCCAGGTGCTGATGTTGAACGCCTCCTGGTGGATCCAAGTTGGTGGCGGAAACGCTCGAGGAAATGCCGTGACACTCTCGATGACAACAGATGACGTGTCCCAAGCCAGAAGATGACGATGCAGCAGATTTCCTGGCGGGATCGCAGAAAGGGCCGCAGTCAGTTAAATTAGTTTTCAGTGAAAGTGGAGTGGGCCGGTATTTTCCAGTGAACAAATTTTGCTCAAATCTGAGGAAAAATGCCTCTTCACCTCAAGCAACCCAAAATGCATAAAACTAGCCATCAATTACTTCCAGAAGCTGCCGCTTGATTCAAGTAGAGCCACACACTCGAGAGGCCAGATCGAGAAAGAGACATAAAAGCAATCTGCCAGTTCTTGGTTATTTTATGGCTAAGGACAATGGTTCTTGGTTATTTGATCAAAACATAATCAAGTGCAAGAAAACTATTTTTTCTTTGACAGCCAAATGTTCTAAAAAAAGACATCTAACATATTTTGCGCAGTGCATAAACCATGCAGAAAATTTTTCTTTTCTTTTGGGGGCGTCATTGCAACGAGCATGGGGGAATTGGTGCCCCTTTTGTCCAGTTTGTCTCGCAGTAGCTTTGTCTCGTTGAAGAAGAGATGTGCATACATACTATCTGGCACGAATGAAATGTGAACATCGTGGCCTTGGATACGTGCTGCACGACCTAGATGTAATTAGTAAGTGATAAAACTGCGGCTTGTTTCCGCTCAACCAAAATAAGAAGTTTTGCGCATTGTTCATACGCCACACAAAGCAGTTCTTTCAAGACTTGGTTGTCAGAAAAACAAGCGATGCTTTTGGCATTTGAAGCCTGCAAGTGTTGATAAGATAACATATATCTAATCTAAAATGCACCTGCCTATATCTTAATTCTCCAACTAAAGGGGAAAGTAATGCTCCGTGAAAAGCCAGGCCTTCTTTACTAAGGTTCTTGAGGTGAAAACGAGTATAGTTGCCTTTAGGTGGTGCAGCACGTATTGTAGGCCACAGTGTTTGCATTTCATTTATACTGGATAGTACCTGAAGAAAACTGTCTGGGTAATTTCCATTCTTTCTAACATATGTGTTCTGAATATGTGTGCTTGATCTTTTTGACTGCTTTTTATGAGAAATTTATTGCCTAGTGAAATTTAGGTGATGGTACAGTGTTGCAGGGGTGTAGTGGAAAATTGGAATAATGATATCATCCTCGTTTTTGCACTGCCAGCCTTGCACTTGTTGCTCGAGTGGTAACTTTAGCGTACACTTCCCAAGTGCTCCAATTGTTTCTAAAACCTACTGTTTTAGTGGTTTTCAGTGACACTCGGCAAGTTTCTAATGGGGGTTTACTTCCCCAACTAAAAAGATAATTATCAAATTTTAGTTAATTATTTGACTTATTGCGACGATTAGCGCCCTGTATTATGTCTCCCTGGCTGTGTAACTTGCCCTCACAAACGATATTAGTGTACCTTTTGCGCCTTTTTTTTTATGGGTCTGTGGGAATCAAAATCTGTGTATGTCGAGCAGCCGTGATGCTACTAAAACGATTAGCGACTGGCTCAGACTGAGCGGCCACAAATGGTTGCAACGCAGTCGATGGCATTCAGTCGGTCCTGGGCGTATTGGGTGGCTCCACCCTCGACTCGGGATCTCTGGATTGGCACAGATTGCATACCCTTTTGCGCTGCAGAGTGAACGTGGTGGTGAGCCGAACTCTGGAGAAAGTTCCGGACGGTCACCACGTGGCAAGGAGCTTCTCGGACGCCCTCAGCCTACTCCAACCGCTCGTGGACAGCGGCAAGGTGAGTTGGCCCCACATTTCGACCAACTTGAAGGACTCGTCCTGTGTCGTCTGGGTGCGCCGTTTTAATTTTTTCTTTGAAAAAGAACCTCTTTTTTTGCCTTATTGTTGACTGAACTCCCCAAACACAGTGTTTTTGGAGTCTTGGGAAACCAAAACATACGAGTGACGTTGCACTTGTGCAGAGGGTACACTCTGTCACGGAGCTAATGTGAAGGTTAAAAGCGTTAAGAAGACGAGGACCAGTAAAATAAGACACACACACCACAGAGCACACTTGCAACTGAAGTTTAATCTGAATATCGGATAGGAAGAAAAGCCTATACAGTCGCCGACCGATTAATCGGGCTTTGCACGGACTGAAAAAAACGTCCGAATAATAGAGCAGTCCGAAAAATCAGCAGATTCAAAAACTTGCCTTTATTACTTCCAAGTGGGCTTAAAAAAGGCATAAATAGTGCCTTGCTTCAAGTTACGCCTGCGTGCCTTGTTTTAGGTCACGCCTCCGTTTGCGTTGGGCAACTTTCTGTTAGCTTGAGAATCGCTCCCTTCTTTCCTAGCGTTATGGTCGAATACTTTCTGCACTTCTTTGCGACACATCACGGCGGCAGAAGAACAGACGGAGACGTGCCGTTCAAGCCAGCGTTGTCCGAACGAGAGGAGAGGCGCAAAATGGCGACTAGCGATGCGAAAGTGGGGCGGAGGCGCGAAGGGATGAAAGCGATGGAAGGAAACAAAGCAAAATTATAGTAATGATGATGATGATGATAATGGCATGCAGCTAAATGAAAAAAAAAAAAAAAATGGCTAGCATAGCGTCACTTAGGCTGTGTTCCAAATCTTACCCTAATGGATCCGAGTTACTCCGGCGGATCGTGTCACGTGACGGCACAGACTGAAAAACGCTGGACGCAGGTAGGTTTCAGAACGCCGAGGGTACAAAACCCTTACCCTGGAGTATGATCGAGTAAATTTTGGAACACGGCCCTAGTGGTAGGACTCATGAGTACTCAAGTTGCGCTGCCAAACCAAGCCAATCCATTTGCAGCCAACATAGAATTCAAAATGGCCGCTTCTCGGTTATGGTGGCCAGAAGGGGAGGTGGCAGCATTGGCCGCTGCGGAGTGTAGCGGCCAATCATGCTAGCATGCTAGCAGCGGCGGCGCTGCTGTCGACACTTAGATCGGTCGGCTTGCCGGGCAACCGCCCGCGAACGCGCAGCAAGGCCGGCGGTTCGGACTTTGTCGGTGGCATTTCATATGCACAAGAACCACTTTTGGTATTTGTGGGACATTTGTTTGTTACATTGATAGCAAAGCGCTATTTGTGAATGGGTACACACAAAACAAAAATAACGCTAAGGACACGCAAGCGTACAGCGCATCAAGCATGATCGGTTTTCCTCGCGCGCCCACACTGCCTAAAGGTAAAGCATTTGTTTTTTTACGCGTGAGCGTATATGCGCCCATTTTCACGAGAATCATGTCATGTCTGAAACTCGGTGTTTGTTTTGGCACGTCATTTGTCATTTGATCAGAAGATCATTCAGAAGCGTATTTCATACGCTTCTGCATGCCACTGGCATCCAGAAGCCTTGAGTGATCCGAGAAGTGAGTGGGTAAGCGTGGTGGAAGCTTCTAAAACCATCCAACATTACGCATAGCAGCTGGATACAGCCAAATTGGGATTTCGCATAAAGCGAGTAATGTTGGAAAACAAGTCTTTCAAGCAGAAACGAAAATATCTGCTTCTGTTGGGTCGTTACTGGCGGGATGCCGGGGCTCCTCATCTATACCTGCCAACTCTTCCGAATCTTTCGTAAAATGTATGAATTCGGTCTAATTTTACGACTGTACAAATCTTGCTGCAAATTTAAAAAAAAAAAAAAAAATTATAATTTTTTTTTTTTTTTCATTTTTTTTGTTGTAAAATTGCTGTTGGCAGTACTTTGCACCGCCACAAGGGGGCGCTAGGTACCGTCGACGGCAGTGTCGTGGTTTTTACTGTTCGTCTATCCGGTGGCCACGGATCCAAAACCAATCCAAAGCCCAATGCCTGTGTTTGGCAACGCACGTTGGTGTGGCGTGTTGGGCCTTGCTGTTTCGGCCAGTTTCGTGGCAAGCAGAGCGGTGTCTGTGTTTGTTGCACGTATAATCATAGCATTTCTCTAGTCGCGGTGGCTTCGCGGCGCAATGGCGAACTCCAAACCTCAAAAGAGGTACTTTCAGGTGTTCCTGAAATGCTAAACGGTGGAATTCTTGTGTTCGTGCCGTCCAAGAAGGGAGAGATGTTTGGATTCTGTTGCATGTGCACATGTGATGTAAGCGTTTCGCGCGGTGGCAAGGCTGACAGTAAGCTGCACATCGCTTCGCGTAAACACCATGGATAAGTGCCTGCCTCTTACTACTACTACCAACCTCCCCCCCCCCCCCCCCCCCCCCCTTGCGGGAGTTTTACGAATTCGAAAGTTCGCAGGTTGCCAAATATGCTCATCTCTGCGGCCGATGGGAAAACCTGACTTCCCTGGCCCCGTACCAGGAGCAGAGAGACGGGTTTTTCCGTAGCGGCGACGACAACAGGCGAGGTCGAAATCTCTGCAGAATGTCGCGCGTGAAGCTATTGCTTCAAAATTGATACCAGTTCGTCAATGTGCATACCTTGAAAATAGCACATGGGATGTTAATTTTGCCCTGTATACTGAACATAGTACCTATTGTTATTAATTCTAGTGCAACTATCTTGACTGCCCAGTTATACGGTTTACTATTGGCCAGACTATATTATCAAAAATAGGCATCCATACTCTGTAGTTCACACTGATTCACTAAGTGCTCTGAGAGCATTCAGATCCCTTGAGATAGCAAAAAAACGCCCTAATAACTCAGCTACAACATAAAGTGGTTGCTGCGGCTAGGGACAACAAATTGCAGATAGTCTTTTGCTGGGTGCCTAGTCATGTGGGTATTCCCGGCAATGAAGCTGCTGATCGTGCCGCTTCCACATGTGCTACAAGGAAGGTTGATAGTCAAGACATACCCTACCAAGACTACAAAGCGACCGTAAAGAAAAGTATCAAGGTTAAATGGCAAGAGGAATGGTCCCACAAAACCAGCAACAAACTTTAAGTGATAAAGCCGATGCTACAGGAGTGGCCGAAAGCCCGTCACAGGGACCATTTTTTTCAGGTAGTCCTTTCGTCGGCTAAGAATTGGCCACACACATACAACACATGGGTATCTGCTTCACCGAGAGGATCCACCTGCATGCAAACACTGCTCAGAACCATTAACTGTAGTGCATATCCTTGAGTGCCCCGCATGTCAAAGATACAGTGTAGACCGCATATAATGTATGTCGCGGGAGTCGCGAAAATCCGCACTATAAGCGGTACCGTGCTATAACCAAAACATCAATTTTTCAGGCCAAAACTTACCTTTGTAAAACAATTTATTTTATGTTAAATGAAAAATAAAGCTTAGTTTGAGGAAAGTCTTTATTTCACCAGACTAGTACACTTCCCTCTTAAGGGGGGACACGGGCTCCAATTCCCGATTTTTTTTAAGAAAGTGCATTTTTCAAATTTGTTATATCTGATTTCAGAAACTAATGATGTACCCTTCCATAAAATTTCATGCCCGTACGTCGAGTATTTAAGCCGATATAAAAGATTTTCGACAGGTCGGCGACGCGCCTCCTATCCCCGAGTTGTTCCGTCGCGCGATCGGTTGACAATATTCGCCATTTTCAAATGCCGACCGCTCCGCGCCCATTTGGCCTACCGCGATGTTGATACCCTCGTTAGAAGCGTCGTTTCTTCGGGCTTTTATGACGATAGTAAACTTCGTTCGAGAGTAAGCATGAACAAAGCCAGAGCCCTCTAGTTGTCGGCTATAATTGGCTTGAAAACGAAACTCAAGCCTGGATTGGCCCGTGACACCCCACGTGATCCGCTCGCCCGAATTGTTGTTTCGTCTCGTTGCTTCTGGTTGCTTCGGCCGAACGTTCGCTTCGTTTGCTTGCTCGTTATATATTTCTCACACTTTTATCGTTTTATCTACGGTCTCGTCGCCGCGATGCCGGCCGTTAAACGGCATTCCCTCCAAGCCTTTGGAGCTCGCCGCCGTTCTGTGAAACCAAGAGGCTCGTCAGGTGGACGCGTACGATGCGCTAACCCTAACGGAACCACGTCGGACGCGTCAGCTGCTTCGCTCCCGAGCGCGTCACCATCTCCCGGTTCGTCGCTTCAGGACCTGACCTCTGAACAACCAGCCGACGTTTCTTCGTCTCTTCCTGAAGATTATGAGGTTGTGGAGGAGCTCACGGCGATAGAGCGCAAGATCTCGCTACTGCAAGAGAGCGATCCCGCTGCGGATCCCACGGACGCTCCCGCTGCTCCCGACGGTGCCCCAACCGAAGGTTATCGTCTGGTTGCTTTATCTGCCATCGAGACACTGGTGTCCGCTCTTCTGTGCCCAGTGTGCCGTGGATCAGACCTTCAGCTAAGCGAGAGTGGCAAGGGAGTTCAGGCGCAATTCGTCGTCGCCTGCCCAGACTGCGGGGACGTTGCTCGGACGCCGCACTCGTCGACCATCGGACACTCGCGGCAGAATGAATTGGCAGCACGGATTTCTCTTGCGTCTCGTGAATGTGGAATCGGATACACGAAGCTTACGAACTTTTTTGCCGGTATCAATGCTCCTTCGCCCATGCATCTCCGATCTTATCAAGATCTGGGAGAAAAGGTCCACGACGCCTCAGTGAGAGCAGCCAGCAACGTAATGAGCAAGGCAGCAGAAGCTGTACGAGAAACACGCGAGTCAGATAGCGGCGATTTGATGGACGTTTGTGTGACATACGATGGCACTTGGCATAAGCGTGGGCACACTTCACACTTTGGTGTTGGAGTTGCCATCGAGCTTGAGACTGGACTAGTTTTGGACTATTTTGTCCAGAGCAATTATTGCCATGGATGTAGCCTTGGACCTGCACAGGGATCTGACAGCCATGAAGACTGGGCCAAGAATCACAGGGCAGTATGCCAGAAGAACTTTGCTGGGTCTGCAAATGCGATGGAGCTGCAAGCAGCAGACGAGATCTTCCGTCGGTCTGTTCAACTCCACAACCTGCAGTATGTGACAGTGCTGTGCGACGGGGACAGTAGAGCCTTCAACCATGTTGCGGGACTTGATCTTTACGACAAGGGCATGAGGAAAGAAGACTGTGTGAACCACGTCGCCAAAAGAATGTATGCTGGCATGGAGGCCCTAAAGAAAACAAAAAAAGGTCTCGGTGGAAGGGGCAAACTAACGAACCTTGTCATGAAGAAATTGACCAGCTACTATGCATCTGCACTGAAGACCAGTGCCCCAGACGTTCCAGCCATGCAGAAGGCAGTGTTTGCCAGCCTCCTCCACAGCTACTCCACCGATGAGGAGCCCCGGCATCAGGCCTGCCCTCATGGAGAACATTCCTGGTGTCACTTCAATCGCCAGAAAGCGCTGGAGGCAGCAGGAGAGCCGACGAAGCCACAGCCACACCGCCCTGCCTTCTCCAGAGACATCGCAAAGGAGTTGGTGCCCCTCTACAATAGACTCTCAAGGCGGGACCTACTCGAGAGGTGTGCAAGGATGGGAACGCAGAACAACAACGAGTCGTTCAATGCTCTGGTGTGGAGGCGGTGTCCCAAGACGGATTTCGCCTCTCGAAGAACTGTGGAAACTGCCGTGGCTCTTGCCGTCCTGGAATTCAACCTGGGCCCCAAGGGCTTTGAGAGGGCCCTTCATGAAATGGGAATCGAGCCCGGAAGCCACCAGGTTCAGCACGCTGACAAGGCCCTCCAAGCCAAGGTCTCCAAGGCGAAGCAGAAGGCCTTCAACTCTTCAAAAGTGGCCCATAAGCAAAGGAAGCTGGCGGCAATCGCCAAGGCACAGAGGGACCAGGCAGCCGAAGGGGAGACCTACTCTGCCGGCGCCTTTTAGTGGACACAGACTGGGCCAAACTAATAAAGTAAAGGTGCTCAATGTTTGAATGCGTTTTTCTCAGTTTCACTTTTTTGCTGCAAACTTTGTAGCAAGGAATCTATCATTTGATGGTAAACATTTTCATGTGCCTCGTTCAAAGTGTTTCTGAACTGAAATTTACTGGGGAATTGGGCTATCTACTTCATTTTGTTTTAAGTTGAAGTCATCACTGAGAAAAAGTGACATTTTGGCAAAATGGCATTCAAAGAAAGTGCATACGATTTTTGGAGACAGAATTTCTCTCTGAAATATTTACATTTGAATCATACAAATTAGATAGCCCAAAGCCACATACCCTCTACTTCATATCCAAGCAATAAAAACAGTGGTTTAACATTTCATTTTCATACGATAGATTTCCTAAGGAAAGGTGCCACAGCCTCATACACAAATATGTAACTTTTTACATAATCCTCCTAGAGAAGTCAAAGTTTGCACAGTGCCCCTGCATCTGCTCATAAATGCACTCTCCAAATTTCATTAAAATCGGACGAGGAGTTCAAAAGTTAATAATTACGCCAGTGTCTCCCCTTAAGTGTGTCGCACATTTTGTAAGAAATGAGTGACTTTTGCCTGGCGCAGCCGGACGGACGTTGCGAGCGTTCAGGATTGCTAACCCTAATCACTTTTCTCCGGCGATGAAAACGCGTAAAAATTCGCATCCTTCATACGGTACGCGCCAGTAATACCTTCAACTTGAGCACAGGCATGAAATGTGCCAAATAAGAAATCCGGGCGATGTTCGAAAACACAAATGCTTAAAAAGCACCACTGTAGTCGAAGTAAACAAACACGACGACACGGGCGGTTCTGCCGTTTTGAGAGTGCCGCCACAGCATCGCCGCACGAGTAGGTGGATCTTCCCTTCTAGTACGTGCTGGGTTATCATAGCGACACACAACGAAAATTCACAGTCAAGGATAGCGCTTTTTCGTGGAACGATGAGCTTCCACCACGCTACGGTGGCTCCGTAACTACGCCGTCTACGTCGACGATCACAACCGGCGCCATGTTCGCGGATAGAAACAGCCGGCCCGCGACCGGCATGCAACGTGCGCGAACACTTCTCCTCGACCCGCGATTGGTCTGTCGTTGCGGTTGTTTGTTTCCAACGCAACGGAGGGACGTAGCACGTGAACGACACGTGCGTGCGTCCCTCCGTTGCTATGGCAGCTGAAGCCTCTCTCTTCGCTTCTCTCCACTTCTTCGAGCAACCTCCTTGCCCCGCGAGTGCCGCTCGCCAACTTGCGGCTCGCACCGTTATATGTCGCACAGGGAAGCGTGCTCGCTGCGCTGGTCAGTCGGCGCGCTGTTCCAAAAACCGCACTATAACCGGTATTTCCCTTAGCGCGCCTGCATTTTAAGCGGTATGTAAATACATGGAGTTCTATGGGAGGCGAACCGGTGGTTTAAAAAAGCCGCGTTATACCCTGTCCTGCACTATAAGCGGTCACATTGTAAGTGGTCTATACTGTACTGCCAATTCCACTTTGCCCATTTTGTTCAGCACACATGCCTCTACACCTTGCTCTTCTGCTTGGAGATGAACCGTTTATAAATCATACATAGGTTTTTAAAATCTTAGAAAGCTCTTAACTTTTATGCCGACTTATAATCTACCTTAGCAGCTTTTAAATTTTTCATCTACCTTATTTATATACACATTCATGTCCATAGTTTTATTCTATGAGTGGCCACTGAGCCCTCTTCCTTCTCTAAAAACCGTGTCTTGAAGTAGTGTCAGATTTTGGCGCTCTGTAGCCTTAGATGCTTTTGCGCTAATAAAACTCTGTCATTCAGTCAATTGATCAAACTTTGCTGAATATGGTCGAATGACGGACAGCGCCTGTCAGCCGATCGCGATCTATGGGTTCCCACGTGGACGGGCGGGGCTGATTGGCCGCTTGCGCACGTGGAAACCGATAGTTCGCGAGTGGCTGACAAGTGCTGTGTGCCGTTCGACCACATTCAGCAAGTTTCGGTAGTGCCATCTGTCTTTTTGCGCCGACAATAAGTGTCCGTAACTTTGAACACTTTTTTAATATGCAAATCGGTTGCACATGAATGTAAGTTCAAGTTTTTTAAGATGCTTAGAGTTCGTAGATTGGGTTATGACCATAAAACGAGGATCTCAAAATGCCCTTTAGGGTCCCTTTAATGCCGTTTACAGATCTCTAAAAAAAACTTTAAACGAGTCGCGAGATTTTTCTGGTTTACGGCTCAAACTTGCCTGTCTTAGACTTTGCACCAATGTTCGGACAGATATGCCCACCGCCTGCAGTCGGCAAATTTGAAAAAGTTCCAACATCTTGGAACTTTTTCATTATGGCAGAAAAATTACGTAGACAACTGGCTGGGCTAGGCCATTGTTCGGAGCTTGAATCATTCCTTGGTTTCTCCGAGTTGCGTTGCCAATGAATCCATCCATACCGACTAAGATAGGGGAGGTTGTAAATTTTAGGGGGAAACAATTGCACGTGACAATCACCAAGTACGAGTTTGGAACCCCCCCCCTCCGGGGTTTACGCCGATGCCCGGCCCAAGCGGCAAAGATGCCTCGAGGAGAGTCGCTGCAAAGCGGTGCTCGTCTTGGTGTCGCCGCACTCTCGTTGCGAGTCTCTGCGAGATGCCCTGGGGGCGATGTTGACGCGGGCCTTGTGTTCTAGCTGGGCTCTACACTTGTGACCAGACATGACCATGTACTGCTTAGAACCACCAGCATACCTGCCAACTCTTCCAAATCTTTCGTAAAATGTAAGAATTGGAACTGATTTTACTAATATTGCTTCAAATTTTGGTAAGAAACAAAATTACAAAAAGAAAATGTAAAAAAAGTTACAAAAGAATGCTAAAAAGAGACTACTGCTGGCGGTATGGTTTTTAATATTCGTCTATCCGATGGCCACGGATCCAAAGCCTCTGTCTGTGTCTTTGGTGGTGCACGTTGGTTTGGTGTGTTTAGCCGTGGTTGAGCCTCACCGTTTCGTCCAATTTCGTGGCGACCAGTGCGGCGTCTGTGTTTGTTGCACGTGTAATTGTGGCATGCCCCTAGTTCCAGTGGCTTCACGGCACAATGGCGAACTCCGTACCTCAAAAGTACTTTCAGGTGTTCCTGAAGTCCTACACGTCAAAATTCTTGTGCTTCGTGCCGTCCAAGAAGGGAGAGAAGTTTGGATTCTGTAGCACATGCATGTGTGATGTAAGCTGCACATTGCTTCGCGTAAACACCAGGGATATGTGCGATATCCCTGGTGTTTACTATCGTTCACCCCGAAAAGTGCCTTCATCCTACTTCCCCCCCCCCCTTCCTTTGCAACCGCAGGAGTTCTACGAATTTGAAAGTCTACAGGTTGGTAGGTTTCCAGTCTCTAGACTGGAAACATTAAGTTTCGGGTCCAGATAGTACAACAATAATCGGTTAGAACAAATCTTTGGGTTCCCCCATAAGTGGATTGCACTGTATTTTTGAAATTCGTTCTGGTTTGCATTGGCTATGGCGCCTGAACGTAGGACGCGTGGCTCTGCAGGTGGACAAGACGTTTGTGGTGGGCGGGGCCCAGCTGTACCGGGAGGCCCTGGCCGACCCCCGCTGCACGCGAGTCTACCTGACGGAGATAGACGCCGACTTTGAGTGCGACGTCTTCTTCCCCGAACTGGAGCCGGGCCAGTTCCGGCTCGTCCAGGAGGAGGGGGTGCCCCAGGAGGAGCAGACGGAGGGCGGCCTCACCTACCGCTTCAACGTCTACCAGAGGATCTCTTCGGGCTCAGTTTGAGCCCCCTGTGTTTCCTTAAATGGAATTGATGAAAGGAAGGTAATACCTGCATTATTGTTCACCATTAAAGAGCTTGCCGTTTACTGTTTTTATTTATGTATTTATTTATTCGTAATGTTGGCCTTTTGGTCGTTGCAGGAGTGGGTTGTTCGTAAAATTACAAAATTTTTAAAGCACACTTTCCCAAATGATATGCACATTAATGATTCAAACACAGATGCCTTTAAACCTATATAAATATCATCCAAGTAACAGGGGTGGAACGGCTGCGCCATTTGCGCCATTTTGCGCCAGACGCATCTGTCTGCGCCGTCCTGCGCCACAGCCGATACCTCGCGCCATTATGCACCAAGTCGCAAAACGTGCGCCAAAACAAATTGAATTTTGTTTTGGTTTCGGTTTTTATCGACTCAATTGGCAACAATGAGTGCGTTTAGCTTGGTCGTCCTTGCAATCCTTTGTTCTTTTTGTTCTCCCTGTGTATCCCGTGTCTGAAGCGGGCGAAAAAACTCGGGGTCGGATTCCAAGCGCCGCACCACCTGCGAGTAGATTGCTATTCTTCAACCATAAGCGGTTAAGCAAGTCGGCCGAGGTGAGGTTGAGTCGTTAATCATCAGATTGCCTGAGGCTCTGCGGCCCAGGATCCGGACGTCGTCAGTTGAAAGCAAATGAGCAAAAGATTTCGCTTAGCACTTCATCGTTAGAAGTTGGAACCGCATTCCCGCAAGATAAATCGTCATTTGATAGAACTGAAACGCGGTCCGATCCGAAACCTTGCCAGCCAGTAGCTCTCTGGCGAGCGGTAGACCTGCTCGGTGTACTTTAACCTTGCGCCTGCTTATCACTTTGAATACGATAACTCCCTTAATCGTAATCTGCTGCTTCAATATTGAGTTGCACAATAGGATAAACTCGAAATTTGTTGCCCTGTTCCTCCGCGCAACTGCACGTCCGTTGCTTACGCACGTTACGTGGTTCGCACATATAATTACTACGTCCAGCCTGTGTGGGTTGCGCGATAAGCAGTGCTGGTTTCGAATTTGAGCAGCTGAAAGCCACTCAGAAAATGTGCAGGACACTATCTTCAGAAACATATGGTACTTTATTTTTGGTTCTCATTAAGGCTCACAAAGTTTCAAGTTTTCGCATCTATTACACTGTTATCCCATCCACCTAAGGTCCCTAACCACTCATGTTCATCTGTGCTGCTAAGCACAATTGAAATTTCTCCCGTGCTTGTCTAAGACACAAGCTGAAGTGCAATGAAAGCTGACCTGGGCTGCTGCTAGCCTGCTCCAGAATGTAGCCTTAGCTGCTCCCAACCTGCTCCAAAACAGCTGCTTCAGCTGCTCCCGTGGCTGCTCCCAAGTACATTTCATGAGTTTCACCCCTGAAGTAAGGAACACAGAAAAGGAGCGAAAGGAAATTATGTATATTGTTGGGCAAGGCCTCTCAGGCCGACTTCAACAACCTTGAACGGTGTCACATTCAGAAGCATCTTGCGGAAGGCTGTTCCACTTGGCCATAGTCCTCGGGGGGAAAAAAGGAATACCTAAAAAGGTCAATCCGGGCTTTCATAGGCCTCAGCATTTCAGTACGACTGCCCCGAAGTCCTCTAGTAGAGAGAGACTTTAAATATCCTAGTAAATCTTGACCTTCTGTTTTTCCTCATGTTCCTCTAGCTATTTGCTTCCCTCATTGAGCCAGACATATTTGTATTTTCCTACGAGGTCTATGAGAATGTCTTGCATCCTCAGGGGTTCCCTCTTTTCGTCGTTAAACACCATTACCCCAGACTTGTCACTACTAAAACTCATGCCCAGGGTGCCCCCCTCCTCTCCGCATATTCCAGCTAGTTCCTGTAACCCAGTGGTTCTCAGCCATTGATGTTTCGCAGACCCCTTGTGGATCGCTTGAGATGATGGAGGACCCCGTTTGTGGTGAGGGGAAGGGAAAGTATAACTTAATTATGACAGTGATTTAATAAATTGATATAAGCAGGGCCTTGTGTGAAGTATACTTCTCTTTCTGACATATACAGGAGGGAACTCACCCAAAAATTGGAATGTTTCTTCACAATCTGAGAAAAGACAACTTTTACCTCCGGGCTTGACTGATAAAGCTGGGCTTCGCGGACCCCTAGAATACCTTCGCGGACCCCAAAGGGTCTGCGGACGCCCATTTGAGAACCGCTGCTGTAGTCTATCCTGGTTATCTACCATAAGTACTATGTCGTCTGCATACATCAGTCCTGGTATTACCGGTACTACATTTCTCCCTCCTTCCATATAACTTGCATCAAAATCTAAGCTCTGCTCTAATTTCTTTTTCATTTCCCCGAGATATATCATGAAGAGCAGAGGTGACAGTGGACAGTCCTGCCTGAGCCCTTCCTTTATTGCTGCGGGTTGTGTGGTTTCTGCTTCCCGTGTTAGAACTATCTTATTGTCTGTGTACACCTGCTGAAGAAACCTAACCAAATTTGCATCTAATACCTCAGCTGACCCCAGTTTTTCCTGGCTCACATTGTCGTACGCCCCCTTGATGCCCAAATAAGCTAACCATAAAGGGGTTTGGTTCTTCATTGAGTGGTGATGAATAAGTTACCTTATAGTCTTATCTCTTCGGAATCCATTTTGGAGCTCATCCAGTATTTGCATATCTTCTGCCCATTCCTCTATTTTACGTTTCACTATCTGGACAGCTAATCTTTTACAGTGATGGAAGTGCCATTTGACCTTTTGGAGCAGGCCTTGTAGCAGGCAAAATGTTGTTTTGGAGCAGGTAGTGGCCCTTTTGGAGCAGGGTCCGGCATATGTTAGCATAATACTTGAAAATGAAATAATGCTGCGTTGCTACATAAAGCCCATCTTTATTATTGGAACACAGCGCCTGTCGCCTTTTTAAGACAGGATATATAAAATTCAACAAAGTAAACACACACAAAAAAAATACATTTTTTAAATAAAGTTTATCTGCTCGTCAGACAAAAAAATACAATTAAAAATGTCACACTGAGTTCTGATGGTACAGAATATTTAGTTTTATCAGCCTGCACTTCTTTTAAGGTATCTGTAGCAGCACCTAACGACCTTCACTGTTGTGGAATGTTTTAGTTTGGATTAGTGTTGTCTTTCGGACAGCAACTTCAAATATTGCGGTATCTGATATTCGCTCCAAAAATTCCTATTCATTTTCGATGTGCTGGTGAAGTCACGATCGGATCACGGCGAGTTAAACCGTTGAGTGCGCTCCTTGGCATGCACCGACGCGCTGCAGAGAAGTGACACCCGCGGAGCAGACACTGCCGTCGCGCGAGTCGCGCAGTGCTTTGTGCTCCGAAAAGGACGGTGAGGCTTTACCAGCACTACATCCAGAGTTTGGTGCAACTAAACTATACTTTCTTTCAGCTTCGGTGCGAGCGCAGCCGAAGCTACAAGCGCGCGCATGGAGCCCGTAACGGTACCCGCACTGCACGAACCCACGCGCGAGTCAGGAATGCACAGAGCATTGGGCTCGCGCTAGCTTTGACTTCGCTGGTAGCTATAGTCGGATGCAACCTAAGAACAATCTTTTAGCTCCACCCACAAGCGCATTGCGCCCATCTGAAGTGCCTCCGCCGTCGAGAAAGAAGTTCGCTAGCAACGTTGCTTTTTCTTCCTCCAGGAAACGTGTCTTAAACTACTACAATATTTATTTAATTCATTCAGGACATTTAAATAAGTTAGAATACGTTTTTGTCAACGAAATAGCTGTTTAGTAAAAAAAGAAAGTCATATGTCCAATGTACCGTCTTCCCAATTCATTTTCTGTCCAAGATACTGTCTAACATACCGTCTAACATACCTCTCAGCAGTGCTAAGCCTCGCGCCCGCTTTGAAATTTTCGTTGGCGATAGCGTCGCTGGATTCTCACGTCGCGCAAAAACTGCTGCAAACGCAAGGCGATACCATTAAGATTTTGTGGCGTAACCTCGGGCACGTAAAACACGGTGCAAAAAAGTAGAATAATTGTCACGAGAAAGTAGCGTCGCGTTGGTAAGGCCAGCAGCCATGTTGAGCATTTTTTTTTTCAAAAGGATTGCGATTGGTCCACGGAATCGTGACGTCATGAAAACGATTGGCTGGCGTTTCTCGGCGTAGGATTACATTTTCCTCTGAGAGGCATTTCCGTTTTTTTCTTAGCTTGCAACAGACTATAGCGCACGGGAACAGGGCGGGCCAACATTGAAAACATCCACATGCTCGGCCTCTTTTTTTTTTTTTATAGGCTGCTCAGTGGGATGGTTCTTCGCTTAGCCTCTGCGGCTTTGGTCTCAGATGTTGCTAATGTTGTTCCTTTCAATGATGATGATGATAATGCGCCCTCGCAGTTTCGGTTTGCGTAACAGTTGCGGCGTGGAAAGTACCGCGGTACCGCCACGCGCTCTGATAAGACTTCAATTTTTATTTTTTATTGCTACATCTCATCTCGGCGCAGGCATGGCGCAATTCTTCGGTAAAATGACAATTTGGCGCTACATGTAGCAGGGTTGCGTCCTTGGCGCAATTTGGCGCAATTGGCGCAGCACTTCCATCACTGCTTTTAGAACTGAAGTTACCGTTATCGGGCGATATGACTTAATGTTGTCTTTGTTTCCTTTGCCTTTATACATTGGTCTTATTTTACTGTTTCCAATCATTGGGTACCACTCCGCCCATAATTACTCAGCTAATCACGTGCCGTAACTTCCATTTGCTTGTTTTTCCTAGTGTCTTTATGAGTTCCATGGTTATGTCGTCCGGGCCTGTCGCTGTATCTGCTGGAGCCTTACTTTCTGCCTTTTCCCATTCTTTTGTGGTTGTCTTCATTGTCACACAATTCTGCTCCTTCTCTATGCTGCTGTCAGTGCTATCCACCGTCCCGCACTGTTCACGCTGGGAGAAAGCCTCTTTGATTGTCTCCTCAATATATTCCCCTGCTTCTTCCCTATGTCAAATAGATGAGTACCATTTAGTCAAAATTCAAGTGCCCAACCGAAATCTCACACTTTCACTCGTCCTGTGCAGCGGGTGAAGAACCGATTATTGCAGTTTACATAAAAATGGTGGCAAATTAATTAACGCTTTGAGTAAAAATGGTTCTAAGACACTGAGCACGATGCTCAGCATGCGGATTTAGACTGTAAATGTATTATGAAGGCGAAAGCCCTCACTCCGCTGATGCGATGTGCTTCGTGGCAGTCGCCTGCATCGAGGGTGCAGGCCGCCACGATCCGCCTGCTATGCCAACTCCAAGCACCAGATCCTAGTGGCCGCTCAATGTTGAAACAGTCGCACTGGCTGCCTTCAGCCCCCCCTACCCGAATGCAGAGGCACGGCTCTTCCTGACTGCCACGAGCTGTCGCTTCATGGCGGCAGCTGCCCTCACACTCACGGCGACATTTCTTCCATCAGGAAGGCTGCGCATGCGGTAGTGTTTGGCGTTACCTATGCCCCTTGGCGCCCCTGTCCGACTGCGGCTGGGGATTGTCTTGCCTCGACAGCACGTTGGAGCCGGCCATCTCGGGCGGGCTCATGACTAGACCCGCCTGCTCTAGTCGGGGAGGGATGTTGGGCTGACGGAAGGACTGGTCGCCTTCCGTCAGCCCAACATCCCTCCCCCTTTTTGTTCCTTCCCCTTCTTTATAATAACTTTCGTTGATGCATATGTATGTACTAACGGGCCAAGGTTGGGTACATAAGCCATTCCGGTTTGGGCAGCATTGCCTTTTGTGACCCTGTATGCCCGGGTAATCCCCCTCCACTGAGTACAAATAAAGTATTAGTACTAGTAATTTCATGTACAAGGGGATTATTCACAAGACTAGATAAAAATAATGTTGATGGTTTATAAATATAATTAGAACTCCGTGTTTTCGGATAAATTCGAAAAACGCCCGCCGGTAAAATTTTTGTCAATTCGGATTTATTCAAAAAACTCTGAATTGTTATATGCCCATGCCGCCGCCGCCCCCCCCCCCCCCCCCCCCCCCCCCCCCTTTCCCTTCTCCCCAGCAAAAAAAAAAAAGGAATTTTTTTTTTTTTTTACAATATGAGCAGGCCAGGATTAATGGTCCTGGGAAAATGACACCATAATTATCTTTCAAGCCTCGGACCGTTGTCAAAAGGGGGTCTTACTTACGGCTTGTCTCGTCAAGGTTGGTTCTGGGAAAGAGGTCATCGTACCATTCGTGCCACGACAAAAGCCACTCTTTAGGTTTCCAGTTTGGGCCATGGGATTTAGAGAAAAGAGAGGGTATGTTTCTGGGGTAACGGGGAAAGCTATATGGACTATAGAGATTGTATAAAATAGGGAAGAGGGGCAGTTGAGACTTCTCTATTACATCTTTAACCACTCCACCTCGCGTGGCCATGGGATAGATTGATGGGATGACTACGAGCTTCCTTGCGGCTATCTCCGGCAGTTTATTGATTTTAAGGTATCAACGTTTATTGAAGCGTGAGCGACTTTTGTCGTGGGACAAATCAGTATTCCCAATGACACCGACGTCAAATTCAACTGAAGAAATCTTAATTGATACAAGCGCGCTTTATTTTTTACCTGGCATACGTTTGCGTCCGGTTATTATTTATTATTTTTTAATAGGAAACACTGCGAAATTTATCTCCGAATTTTGGAGAATTGGGGATTTACGAAAAATAAACTCCGATAAACAAAATAAACTCCGAAAAACACCCTCCGAATTTCATGAAAAGTAAACTCCGAAAACACGGAGCCCTAAATATAATCAAACCCCCCCCCCCCCCCCCCCCCCCAAACTGCAAATAACGTCCGGTTTTAGATACCGACCGGCAGCCCGACCTTTGTCCAAAAATCTGGCCGTGTTGGTCGAAAGCCGGGCAGGTGGCAACGCTAGGAACCGTGCAAGCAGAGGGTGCCAGTTTCAGGATTTCAATTATTTTACAATATCAATGAGATTACCCGGAAATTTATCCATGGGCACGGAGTCTCACTCGGGAAACAAACAAGGTGAAAGGAAAGAAAATGATTCAAGATTACTGCACTTTTTTTCATGGTTTGCAAGTAGTTATCACCGATATCTTGCCAAACTTGTTTGGGATTAGTGGCCAGCATAGTGGGCAACGTGTATAGGTCTATTCGATTCGCTTGAACTGGCTGAACTAGTTCAGCTGTGCAACATTCGATTCAACCGGAAGTTGCACGGCTGCTGCACTGGCACGTTCGATTCATCCCAGTTCTGAAAGAGTACAGACCCAGTTCTTCAGAACCTTGCACCGGCTCCGTAGTCAGTTCAGTGACCGTGCAGAAGCAGTCGATGAGGGCAGATGACACTCGCGGTTCCATTTCTCGGAGCTCTTGCTCAAATGTCTGCTATGTTTAAAAAAAGCTTACATTTGCTCTCATTGATGAAAAGAATGTAGGTACTTTTGGTGGACCCAGGATCCTAACGAAAAGTAGGAATTAGCCCGAATATATATTTTGAAAGTGTGTTACGCAGGTTTGGCTCCCTGTGGTTAGTGTTAAGCTCATATAAATTGTCTCTTTTTGATGTTAGTGGTACTATGTTTATATGCTTAAGAAACACAGGAAGAGTATTACACTCCTAAAATATATTCAGTAGCTGTTGGATGTACACTGACAATTCTGATACATTGCAGGCATTGTGTCCCCGTAGCTGAGCATGATACTGCATGCTTTGTCCGCTGGTATCTGGCTGCCCACTAACGGGCCTGTTAGGTTTAAAGACCTCTGGGTTGTTGTCTTAGGGGGATTTTGGTGGGGTTGGACCGGGCAAGGAATGCAGGCCTTGACATGTTTATGAGTCCCGGACGCGACGGCAGTTGACGAATTCCGAGGTAATTCGAATATCAAGCACCGGGGTTGGAAATGTGGGGAGTTGGCGAGAAGTACCGCCGAGTCGGAACGACGCGGTGTGTGTGTGTGTGTGTGTGTGGGGGGGGGGGGGAGAGTGCGGAGCGACCCAGCGAGGTGACAAGTGATGCTGACCAGACACCCGGGAAAGTGGGGACGATTCCTGGAATTTTGGGGGCACGCGGGAAAGAGAAAGGCAGTCTACGCTGAGCATCTGATGGGACAAGATGCCACCAAGACTCAGAGAGGTCTCGCGTAGCTCATAAGATCCAAACCTAGTCTGTGAGTGTATGCAAATAAACCAGATATACATATTCGTTAACTTTATCTGGATGTGTACCTGTGTGTCAACGTCTCCACTTGCCGCACTTGCCTCCAAGAAAGTGTTTGCCGCACAAACAGTCGTTCGCGCGAGGCGACCATAATTTTCGATCTACGGATATTATCCACCTTCTATGTCTTTTAGGGTCTGCCGGGAACTTGTAGAAACTCACTCCGCTACTTTTCTTGTACATTTCGGTGAGATTAACGGCAACGCACCTTCGCGGCATGCTCGAAATGCTATGACGCCCATGCAAAACGTGCGCTCTCTTGCCCACATCCCCCGGCTCCGGCGGGATCGCAGCGCCGCGACGTCAAGCCCGCGTGTCGGTCTATAGACCTTCCTGCGTGGCCTGGAATCGCTAAACTTTTAGTATGCTAAAAAATATGGCTTTTGCTCTCGCCACACTGCCGACAGCGTTCACGTTTTAATCGCAAATGTTGGTCATTCTAGTTTTACCTCTTCCATATTATGTTTTCCAGGTTGTAATGGTTTTTCTTTTTCACAAATATTGAATATTTCAACTACATCATGTACGCTTTGAACTCTCTTTAAACAGTCCGCAAATTTCAGTTTCTCAATGTATCTCGCTGTGATTTACTAGAGAGGTGCAGCTAGGTGGTGCAAGTTTGGAGTAAAAAATATCATTGAATGAACTTAGCTCGTTTAAAAAAGAAAAACCTGTCACGGGCAATCTACGGCGACATTTTTAGATGGTGCCACGACGGTGCTTGCCGACTTGGAAGTGCTGCCGATAGATGTTGCAACGTAAAGTATGAGAGAATGCGGCAGCTCGTTTGATCGTCTTTGTACAAGGGATGGGGGGCTCTGGGGGACTTCTTTTCATATTTAGTTTATTTAAAAATATCATCACACTTTCGAAAATTGAGCATTGCAGAGACAGGGACTGCACTGAGGAATTAAGGAACCATTTTCGGAAGATCGTCTACCAAGCTCGGTGCCGGGGCATCCTCGACGCTCCCAGCATGTGTCACCAGCATTGTGCAAACAGCACACGCCGTCTGCGAATGCCGCCATATATTGCCCCAAACAGGTTCTTCTTTTCTCTTTTTTTTTTACCGGGGTAAGTTCAGCCTAGATTTCAGTGCGATACGTTGAGAAACCGCCTTTTGCGGACCGTTTAAAGTAGGTTCGAAGGGTTAATGTACACACTGTGTGTGCCTCGCAACGAGTGCAGTATGGGAGGATACAGAGAGGAGGAGTTCTCGCAGAAAATTGAGGTTAATATGCCATTAATGCCGGTCTCTTCAGGATTGCCGATGTCTGGATCGGCAGTTTGTTCAAATGGAAAGGCAAAATAGATTGTATTTCAGGAAGTCTGTCTTGGTTGAACCAAAATGCACGCAAACTCATGGAGTTGTTGAAGACGCTCGCGTGATCCGGAGGATTTCCATCTTGCACGACCGGTCGTACACAAAGACCCGATTCTGCGGGGGAAGAACGACTGTCCACAGCAGCATCGCTGTCTCTGGGAGAAGAGAGGGTAAGGTTCACATTACCTAGTGCATTACACAAATAAAGGTAGCACTAAAGACGAGCACAAGCAGAAGACACGAACCAAGCGCCGACTCACAATTCACGTTTAGTGAAGATTCAAAGGAAGATAAAGCAGAAGTGCAAGGACATATTGTCACGAATGACGGACGATAAGGCAGGAGAAAACAGAACAACTATAGATTTAATGGGGGTGAAAGTGTGCTTGAAACCAAAAAAGAACATGCGAAGGAGCAGCAGCGAGCGTTGTCACCAAGATTACACTGTTGTCTGTGTTGCTTTACTGTTCTAGTCTGTACAAAAGTTAAAAAGGGCTAATTGGACAAGCTCAGATCAATCTGAGCAATTAGTGGAATAAAAACACTATATTATCGGACAGTTTTCAAGTTGTGAATCGCGAGACATGTCTTTAAAGTTGCAAAATTCCTATTTTTTTTTTTTGTAATAAGAACTTTGCGGCAGTCCTCTTGGTTACTGTCTAATGAAATATGTGCTCATATAATCATGCCACTGGACATCAAAGGGTTACCGTGCCATCTCTCTAACTCAACGTCATGATGAATTTATGCAAGCCGGCAGAGACACATACTGCATAAATAGGGTTGTCGACTTTGTCAAACAACTACTTAAACAACAATTTCATCCGACATTTGTGAGGCCCTATGGAGCTGCTCAATGTGCGCGACACTTCACATTTCTCACAATCATCCTTTGCTTTGTGCTCTTAGTGAGCCTCTAATCCACAATGGCATCTGCTTCATTTCGACCCAGTGAAACCCTAATCAATGAATCTACCGGTACAGAAACATTCTAAAATGTATCATAAAATGAACAATATTTGTATTTTATAAAGCGGTGAAATATACATATTGCCGTCTGTGTCGTTACCATCACCACAATCGTCATCATAGTCAATATTATCATTATGAGCCTCATGAACTGCCTTAGCCCAAGGCATTAAAATTCCTTGATCTGGACCTGGCGATGCCAACTTCATTTCACGGAGTTACCGCTAAACTGAACAACTTCATGCGTCTTTCCATCGAAAAAAGGATTGAAAGTGTCCTCACAGATGAAAGGCACGACGGCCTAGTCCATTTTTCACGTGGAATGATTGGAAGTCGGAAAACAATAAAGTTGCTAAATCACAATCAATGGCAAAGCGTCTTTACTTTGAAAATGCTGAGAAACCGAAACTCAGGAAATTTGGAGCTACCAAGATGGCCACAAGCACAGTGCTGCCAGACCACCAAGCAGTTTCACATATCGTCTTTTGCAATGTTTGAGAAATTGTTGGTTTTGGTAGCGCTTTTGTATTGGCACTAAGATCAATCGTGGGTCACGTAACGTCAAGACATGCTGTCGAGTAATGTCACGTCATGTGGCCCCATGACATACTTGCGTGACTCACTGCGTCGGCTTAAATTGAGGACGTCGCAAGATTTTTAGCGTTGTTGACACCGTGACATCACATATTACTTTGCCCGTTGTAACACAACGACCGCAGCAGAGCACTAGAGTGGTGAGAAAACCTAGCAAGACTGACGTCATCGGTGAGGTCAGATGACCTTTCCTTGCCACTAAGCTAGCTCAAGGATGCCGACGATGAAGTCACGGCGCTTGAGACAGACAACAGGTGGCAGAGAGGTTCGCCGCATGCGCTGCGGCAATTGCTGCGTGTACTTTTTATAATAAATGCGGTTTACATTTACTTCTACACAAGTGTAATAACTGAATTTACGAGACAAGAAGCCATAGAAGTCTGCTCCTAACTTGGATTTCTCAAAAAGTGCTTCCCTTTAACCTGCAACAGGGTCACATTGGTTGAATCTCGACGCCACCTTAGACTGGAAGGAAATTCGGGAGGCTCGGGACAAGCACCCACCCAACGCCGTTTGAAACGTGTAGTATGTGTCTGCGTTGCGAATCGTCGAAGCGATGTAGGCCGTGCCACCATGCCGCAACAGGTCTGCCAGGGTTGCTGCCAGCGGCTCGATCAGGTCGGGGTCGAACACTAGGTCTGTGGAAGAACAAAGACTGAGTCATTCGCGGGACGCCCTCGGGGAGTTTGTCTAGTTGGGCGCATGGATCCACCGCAAAGATGGTTGCTACTCACTTTTAATAAATAAAAAACTCCCAAAAAACATTTTTTACACAAAAAAAAAGCTTCCCCCAAAAAAATAAAAAAATGTTTAGTGCATCTCGCTGGGTAAGGAGCAATTTTAAGGGAAGTAAAGCAAGTTTTGGGGAACTCAGTATATGTCTTGTAACATAAATATTGCGCTAAAATGTTTTTTTTTGTTTTTCTTAAATGCAGTATTGCATTCTTACAAACGCTAAATGATTTATCCTTAGAAAGTGAAGCATCCAACGATCGAGGAGAGTTGGACGAGTGCCGTGCACCGACCTGCAAGCTCCCCCAGCCACACCATGCAACTGTGGAAAAAAAAAAAAGAAGCAGAAGAGAAGACTGAGATGTTTGAAAAGAGTTTGCAAACTATGGAATCTTCAAAAACAAAGAAAAAAAATGATGCCGAAATCGCTGGTGTCATTACGCTGATTCTCGATAGAATTCATTATTGTACTGCCCGGCTGCACATCACATTTCAACAAGTACTGACCACTCTCAAAAACTTCATTTGACCACACCGAAACCAAACCATTTCAAATTTCCACCGCTTCAGTTATCCATTTCAGACTGGAACTCACTTCAAGAGAGTATTGTCAATATTCAGGAATCGTCCGGTTTCAGAGCTGCACTCGGCACCTCTTTTAATACTTAGCAACCTGACATCTTTGTGTTTTCCATTTCTTTAATAATTGTTGCGTATGCCCCCCCCTCTTATGTAAAGCCCTGGGCACTTTAAGGGTATATTAAATGAAATGAAACATTTCGAGTAGGGGTTCGCTGTTTTCAGAGAACCAGTCTGTTCTTTCAAGCGTCGGCAGTTTCGGATGCAGCCACCACAACTTTAAAGGAGTGTGTGTTAACATGTCATCGTTCAACAACATCAAGAACACTGTAATCCACATTAATTTTCAGGCTTCTCTCTAATCTTGTACACTGTTCATCAATACACCTGACACATCAAAACATGTGACCACCCACTCAGATCGTGTACACCAATGTCTCTGATTCTGCAAATTCAAACTAACTACGGTGCTTTTTCATTCACATATGTAGCAACTAAAACATGGAACGGTCTACCGGAAAGTATAACATCAATGTCAAGTTTTCAAACGTTCACCCTCACCTGGCTATTATATATTCACTCTCAAACTTCACTGGAAATCAACTGACTGATGCTCTACCGATTCCTTCCTATTTGTTTTTTCATTCATTCATTCAAGCTGCAGGCTTTACCAAGAAATATACCAGATTTGTATGTAGGTGATATGGTGCGGTAGAAATATTTTTATCATTATTATGTGCCTTTGTTTTTCCCCTTCATCTTTTTTCTAGTTGGCTAGAATAAACATTGGGTTGAAAGTCAGCGCTGTGTTTGTGCCTTCCTTGTTTCTTGCATCTGTTTTTCTCCACCATCCTACCTTGTAAGGGAATCAACCAACTCGGCCAACTTTCTGCCTCGTATAATCTAAACCTTTCCTGCTTGACGATTCTTTGATTTGAATACAAAACAAATGCTCATAGAAAGCGTCGAGTGATGGATGATAAATGTAATACTATTTTAATTGTTTTTATGGTTTGATTTATACCGTCGTAATTTAAATCACGATTTAAATTGTCTTTCTCCACCCTGGGGTTGGACAAGAAATGGGTGTTTATCGGCAGGGGCATGAGATTCCCCAACCTCCAGGGAGTGTCGTTCCAGTAAAAATGTTCCTGCGCCGATAAGGGAAGCCAACGGAGGAGAAACAGGCAGCCTCGCGGACAGTTAAGTGGGGGCCTTGTTCTGGCTCAACACCAAGTAAACCTCCCATCAAGTCTGGCTTTTTCTGAATCAAGGACGAGATTTCTCCCTTTTCCTCAATTTGAATAAAACTCGCTCGGAGGCTCATTTTCGGGGCTATATGCCCAATATATTTAACCTTACTTATGGTCCTCGAAAAAAAAAATTTAAAAATGAGCTCTTTGTTGAGTCCTCGAGGAAGCAGTTCAGAAAAAATTGAAATTGTCCTCAGTATCCATTTAAAATTTGCAAAAAAAGTAAACGAAAAGTTATGTTTCTAACTTTTAGTCAAAGGAGGATCTTCCTTATATTCCACTTGCCTGCATTGTCGAGACTGGCCTAGTTTCCACGCCGCCGTGAAAGCTATAAGGGCGTGGCTTAGTTCGGCATCTTCTTCGCAAGAGAGTGCGTCCCGACAAGATGAAGCCACATTTTTGCGTTGCAGTGTGGGGCCGAAGCACTGCGGAAGCTACGCTATCCTCAACGACATCATGTAGAGCAGGTGATGCCAAGTCTGGGTGTTTTCATGTGGCAAATGCAGTTTTAGTCGCACCTCCGTCGTAAATTGGACTATTTTTCGCTATAATGCACACTCCACATTTTCCGCAGAGACCGGTCCCTTAGAGGTCAGCACGTATGTCCAAATTCTCGACAGACTCGCCCCGTACCTCCCCATGCACCACTGGAACCACTTTTTGGAAGTACCTCGCACCCGAGGCTTCCAGATCGTATGCAAAATGGTGCCTTCGCAGGGTTTTTTTCGTGCCATCAAACAGGCCCAGTCAAGTTGCACCCATGCACGACCAAACGTCCGACGGGTCGTACAAAGTGTCGAAGAGACGGCCGAACCCGATCGGCTGCCGGTCAATCACTGCGACACTCGCGTACAGCCGTAATTTGCTGGCGTCCGATCGGGTTTGGCTGTCTCATTCGCACATCGTTCGACCGGTCAGACATGTAATCGTGCATGGGTGTGGCCTGACACCAGTGATTATCATCCGTTGGGAAACACAAAGTGAGGACGCCATTTCGCGGTAACTGATGTAAGATATGAGGGCTGAGTCTTCGAAAGGAATGAGGAAAGTATATTCACATTAAATAAAGATGTTAAGTAATAGGGCTAAGAGCGAGTTAGTGCTGGCTGACTTGACTGGCTGAAGGCTTGACAGGCATGAGACAGGCGCCAGACTAGAACGCACGTGCCGTCCGGGCCGGGCACGAGGGTGGCTTCTTTCTCAACTGTCACTAGGCACGCTCACCTGGGGCGCGTCAAAGGTAGTAGAAAGAAGAAAAGGAGACGGAGGATACCACGCACTCACACTGATAACTGGAAGCAACTGTCGGGAAGGTTTATGTACGTACCGACCTCTAAATGATCGGTGTCTACAGCAAAACAATTAATTGTAAATCTACAATCGCGTACAGCCCCCGCATATGGAAGTAACAACTGGAAGTAGCAACAAGCTTTGAGCGAAGGTTATCACGTGTAAGTCCTAGTCCACTTATAGCAAACTTCTAATATACGCCACTCGTAAAATATAGAGTAGTTTTTCCTATACCGTGAAGCCACTTATAACAGGTTCACATATAACAAACTTCTATTATAACTAGGGTTCCATTTTTCCGGGGTTAATTTTTCTTTCAATTTCGCGCTGCTTTTACTAGGCAAATTTTTTCCCACAAATTCTGCACTTTTTAGTATCATTATTTTTGGGGTTGGACGAAAAATCGGGGTTTCTGTTGATGAAAATGGGACATGGGCACGAGTTCCATCGACCTCCAGAGAGGCGTGACCCGAGCGCTTGGACAACTTCCCTGTGTCGACCAGAGACGGAAGCGAAATAAGGTCCGACCGAAGCAGCAGCCTGGTGGCCAGATCACCAGGGGCCGTGTTTCGACTCAACAGAAAAGGATGCTGTCTTTTTCTTCCTTTGAGGCTCAACTTTTTCTTCTACCAACTCAATCTTTTTCTCAATCTCAATTCAATTCAAGCTTCAATTAGAGATTTTTCCGTGTTCCCCCATCTAGATAAAATCGGGGGTTAATTATCGGGGTGTATCGGTATTTACCGAAAACACGAAACCCAATTACAACGAACAAAAAAGAAGAAAGCACAAATTTCGAGCCAGGCTTATTACATATTATTCGTTCTTAATAAACTCTCGATGAAATGATCACACTTTGCAAAATGAGTGGATTACACTGCACGTTTAAAGATTTGTTGTAATTAGGGTTCCGTGTTTTCAGTATGCACGGATAAATCCCGAAAAGTAACCCTGACCCGACGTGATTATTACTGGGGAAAACAGAAAAACCCGGAGTTGTAGTCGTACTTCAATAAAAGAAAAACCAAGCTTCACGGAAAGATACTTTAACTCAAAGCTTAAATTTAGGGTTTGTCGGTATTTGTTGCAAACACGGGACTCTACCCACAATTAGGGTTCCGTCAGTAAATACAGATAAACCCCAAAATCGACCCCCGAGCTGATTTGAGAAAAATCAGAGCTGTAAAAAACAACCCAAGAAAGAGGAAAAAGTCCAGGCATGGCTTACCGGCACCCAGTACCACGTCGGTCCCTAAGTGGTCCTCCTCGAGCTGCTGGCCCCAGCGCAGCGTCTCCACCTTGACGTCCGGCATGGACGGCCACCGGTTTGTGGCCACGTTTTCTTCCACCACCCGGAGGACGCTTTGATGGCCGTCGGTGAAGGTGTAGCGAGACGGCCGACACGCCCGGCACACCACCAGGCCCGTCAGCCCCACGCCACTGCCCAGCTCCAGCACTCGCCTTCCCAAAGAAGAAACTTTTGAAACTGTGGCCCCTAAACGAGCTGCGCTTAGACCGTGGCAACTGGGTTCCTAGCGGGGCAGCAATCTTGGAATACGTACACAAATACTAATTCTTCCAAACTGCGGTTCGTGGCCAACGCAAATGGTTCATGTTTTGGTAACTGCTCGCAACGTGTCGGGCTTTCCTTTCGGATTTCCCCCCCTGGGTCAAGTTCATGCGGTGAAGTTGGGGCCCCGCGCTCCAAAGGGCTGTTTTTTAGTTTATCGTAAGGACTCGACGGATGATGGTCGACAACAAATCTGACGAAGCATGGTGGACGATTGCGACATATTGTCAGCGCATTTCACTACTGAAACACAAATCCATTTGTATTTTCATACAGAAATACAGATACCCATCTCAAAGAGAGTATCGCAACAAATCAAGCCCGTTTCTTAGGATGATGGCCCACGCTACTCTCCCCAAGCTCCCAAATTTCCTGGGTTGTCCCTTACCCCCAGTGAAGTGTTATGTAAAGGGACACTAACACCCCTTAAAATTTGTTTTATTTCTTGCCAGGCAATTTATTATAGTGTCGGAAGACTACCCAATCAATATTTTGCTACGGCGTCCCATATATTTTTAATAAAGTAAAAAGATGCAACTGCTCAAAACTGAAATCGAAACTGGACTGGGGAGGAAGAAGAAATATAGAGGAGGAGAGAGTTGGCGGAAGTCACGTGGCTGGCTTCAATCAAAGTATTTGCGGCTTTTTAGAAGCCACAAAAAATAGGTGTCATTTTTTGCTTCTATTTTTAATATTAGGTGTGTGCCATCGATGACCCTCAACTTTGATTAGCTTTGGTGGTTGTGAGTAAACCATAGACAACGGCTCGTGACCATGAAGAAGACAGTAAGCACGACTCGAACCGGCCAGTTCTCGATCGGTGGTTTTCGGGCCGGAAGAAAAGAAATTTGAGCCGCAAATTGTGCTCCGAGTAGTTGGGCTCTTTTGCGTCATGTAGAAATCAAAACCTTGACGAGCATAAATACCCGTCAGTGTCCCTTTAAGCAGATTTTGGGCAGATCTGAGACACCCACTGATGTGTAGCTATGGGCCAACCACTCTGCACTATCTTGAAAGTAAACATCTTCGACAGAAATCTGTCTGGTTTGGGGAACAATTCGGAGAAAAGGAAACTCAAACCAAAAGTTTATAAACAAAGAGTTCCCAACGTTTCGGGGTCGACTTGACTCCTTCTTCAGGGGTGATTAAAAATGGAATGCCACAGCACGAGCTTCGACCTCTCCTTCCTCTTCTACCGAGGTGATATTTTGTGAACGTGACGCAGGCCATGGACGTAAATAGACAGTAAGGCCCCAAGGGACCTGTTAACGTTCCCCGGTGTATTCTGGATATGCCACGACTTCAAGAACAGGCGTTTTCGAATATGTGGCTCCGTGTCTATCACGTGCGCGTTTCCGAAGTCGATCCAATGATCAAATATCTCACAATGTTCCGCGACGGCGCTACGCTCACGATCGAAATTGCACACATCGTTCTGGTGCTGGCGCATGCGTTCCGGAAAAGATTTAGTTTCACCGATGTAGGCGGTGGGGCACTCTGCACACGGTATCTTATAGACCACGCCTTGTGCTTTCCCTTTTGGTAGGCGATCTTTCGGCCTTGGCATGAGCCGTCCTAATGTTGACATTGGCTTGTGCGCCACTTGGATCCCTTCTTTTCGCAGCGCGCGCGCCAATGTCTCGCTCGTCCGTTTTACGTAGGGGACGCTGATGCGCGCGTGCTGCAAAAAGAAGGGATCCAAGTGGCGCACAAGCCAGTGTCAACATTAGGACTGCTCATGCCAAGGCTAAAAGATCGCCTACCAAAAGAGAAAGCACAAGGCGTGGTCCATAAGATACCGTGTGCAGAGTGCCCCGCCGCCTACATCGGTGAAACTAAATCTTTTCCCGAACGCATGCGCCAGCACCAGAACGATGTGTGCAATTTCGATCGCGAGCGTAGCGCCGTCGCGGAACATTGTGAGATATTTGATCATTGGATCGACTTCGGAAACGCGCACGTGATAGACACGGAGCCACATATTCGGAAACGCCTGTTCTTGAAGTCGCGGCATATCCAGAATACACCGGGGAACGTTAACAGGTCCCTTGGGGCCTTACTGTCTATTTACGTCCATGGCCTGCGTCACGTTCACAAAATATCACCTCGGTAGAAGACGAAGGAGAGGTCGAAGCCAGGGGCTCCGGAAGCGGGGGGGCAGGGTGGGCTTGAGCCCCTCCTGTCCTCAGGACCGAGCTGCCGAACCCCCCCTCCCTCTCCCTCTTTTTTTAGTTTGCGTGTTTGTAGGTTATCTGGTATGGGCCTTCGGCCTATCTGCTGTACCTCCGTCTCTCCTGAGCCGAAATAAATGAAATGACCCTTTCCGCGTGCTAACCTACCGCCCTTCTCACCTCCGCCAAGCACAAAAAGCACCGGGGCGGCGGAGAGGCATGCTTGAAAAGTCAAAACCAGGAGAAAATGACAGGCACGACTCACGAGCCTGATTGACAACCAGTTTAGAGCGAGCAAAGAGGGGACAGCGAAATGAATGGATTCCGACAAGACGACGTCGGCGAGCGTTTGTCTGCTTCCACCGTGTGGAAGAAAGAAGCCCAGAAGATGCATGGTGCTTCTCTGGCCCGCGGACAAAACAGGCAGGCGGTACTACCGCGGCGCTAAAAGGCCATCATTAGAAGAAGGAGGGAGGGGGGCTGGTGAGCTTGAGTGGGGATTTGGGAGTGCTTAGAAAAGGCGAAAGTCTACGAGCTCCCAAATTTGACAAGGCGCGTTCGATGGCGAAAGCTTTGCGCGCATGCGGCGTCGTGCCCGCAGGGTGGTGAGGTATGAGGCGACACATGTTTACAAACTCAGGACAACACAACACGAAGTCTCAAACACAGCTCTTATCCTTCAGCACCTTACTTTTGTGATGTCCCCCAACCTGCATTGATGCCAGGAGTCCGAAGCGATCACGGTCGATGTACTTGATCCTGAGGTACATACCGATGTATGCTATCTCTGCCTCCAGTTGAGACATCCGATAGCCCAACTTGCTGTGTTTGAGACTTTGTGTTGTGTTGTCCTTTTTTTCCCCCGAGTCTCGGGGTTTTGTTTAAAACGTTTAACACTTGTTTGTGTACGTCTGCGTTAATACATCATGCTTCCCAAGAATCTTTTAATGAAGGAAGGTTTTCATTTTTAGACATAGCCAATTTAACATAGTGAGTGAGTGAGTTTATTGAGCAAAAGAAAAAGGGGGTAATGCGGAACGAGAGGTTAGTCTCCCAATAGCGGGGTCAGCTTTCTCGTTCCGCTTGGGGAAAGGGAAACCAAGAGTGGTTAAGAGGAGGAGGATGGCTGACGCCCGTCAGTACAGCCTAGAGGCGTGTTGAGAGGCCAGTCTCTTGGAGGAAAAGAAGGATGACTTTGAATGTTTGCACCCTTAGTGCTTGTGGTCCTGCGGGAAAAAGAAGACTTTGGGTATCCTGGTTACTGCCGTTCGCAATAGATTTTTTCAGGACGTTTCTTGAATTGGCGTTTTGTGGGCATGTCCAAAAGATGTGGTCCAGATCTTCTCTTTCATCACATGCGGGACAGTTTGGGCTAGACGCTTGTCTCATGAGATGTAGACGAGAGTAGGTGTTTGCACAGTTGACTCGTAGTCTATGTAGCAGCGATTGTTGCGGTCTCGGGAATTTGTTTTTAGGAATGGTTGGAGGAGGTAGTCCAGAAGCCGTTCCTGGGTGGGGGTGATTAGTTTGTGCTTCATTATGGATTATGATTCGATAGTTGTTGTATGGATGTATTTCTATTACTTGGGATACATTATTGTGGGCTTCATTTGCAAGGGCATCTGCTCTTTCATTTCCATGTATACCCACATGCGAAGGGATCCACTGAAAGTAGATGATTGATCCTTCTTTAGCCATGTGGTGTACGAGTTGAACAATGGATCTTGCCAAAGGAGTTCCCCTTCTCAAGTTTTCGAGCTGTCGTAAGGCTCCTTTCGAGTCCGTGAAAATAGCCACTTTTTCATTTTCCGAAAGTGTTATTAACTCGGAGAGCGCGAGCCATATCGCAGCAAGTTCTGCTGTGGTCGTGTCGGTACAGTAGCTCAATTTGGCTGTAGAAGATTGATTAGATTCTGGTATGATGTAAGCAGCTGTGGTGGATAAGTCTTTCCTGCTTCCATCGGTATATATGTGCTTCATGTTGCAATAGGACTGGATGACGTCATTTGCGATGTCGCGTGCCACGATATCGGCGACGTGGCCTCGTCGTGGGAGGTCCATGATCTCTGTTGTTATGTGGAGGTGATCGTTCTGCCGGTGTGGAGGGGGGAGGGGAGGGATGTTCTCTGGGTAGCCGACGTGGTCAATGAAGCGTTTCATGGTCCTACCGAGGTAGGAGTGATGGCGTAGTAGTATGCTGTCAATGAGTGTCTCGTATGATGGAACTCTGAGCAGTCTGGCTGCGTGAAGTAGTGTTCTCTCTTGTGATTGTGTTTTTAGTGGTGAGTCACCTGCCTCGACTATAGTGGAGACGTTATGTGACGAGCGTGGTAGTCCGAGACAAATCCTGAGTGCGTTGCGGTGAAATGTCTCGAGAGTTTTCCATTGAGAATCCAGAATCTCCAGCAGGGGGAGGGAATATAATATTCGGTTGACGATAAGGCCGCGATACAGCGTAAGCATGACTTGTTGACTGGCACCCCAGTTGCGGCCTCCTATTCTTCGGATAGCGCCAAGTAATTTGCGGGCCTCATTTAGTGTATGTTTGACGGCTGGGCGCCAATTTCCTCGGTCGTCAATGATTGCACCAAGATATCGCACCTCAGTGCTTCTGCGAATCCGTTTGCCATCTACGCGTAGCGAGCTGAATTTTCCTTTAAGTCTAGCTCTTGGCCGATAGCTCAACGCCGATGTCTTTGTTACTGACAGCGTGAGACCCG